GAAGCTGAAGTCAGTTTTTACCAGCTTCTACTTTGAATTTTCCTGTTCCACCTTAAATAGAGAAACATTTACATTCTGGTGCTTCAGGCTTCAGTACTGCTGGACTATTTAAGGGGGAATAGGAAATTTAGCCAGCTAGCTGCCGAGACATTAGCATACTACTAGCGATTTCTGATGCTTGTTATAAAGAAAAGGACCATAATACATTAGAATGGCATTAAACTAAGATAATACAGTGGGTATCGTAATTTTTTAACGGAGAAAATACTCATATTTGTGGGTTTCTTTGGACGCTCGCACAGCACAACACTCTATATGGAGTGTGTCTCTGAAAAACCTCTGTTTGGAGGGTCATGTAGCCCTAACACTTCCCCACACCCCTCTATCTCAACAAAAATCAGGACGCCCTACCCTTAGATATGATTGGGCTAAGGGCTAAGCGGTAGGGGTAAAGTGGGATTGGGCCTTAGTGGATCCAAACTAAATGTAAGATAATGGTAAAGGAATCACTCAAAGTAGTGAGTAGAGACTCACCTTTAGGTTCTCCACCTCAATGCACACCGCATCCCGACTGTCATGGCCAGTCCACTTCATCTCCTCCTTAGCTGCTTGTCCACTCTCTGACCCATCAGCCTGGACCTGAGTCTGAGCCTCTGAAGCCTGATCTTCTGATTTAGTGAAGGCCTTAGGCTGTGGGCCGGCTTCCTGAGGGACAATGTCGCTCTCGTCCCTCACACTGTCCTCTGTATGAGGATGTGTGCCGGGGTCAGATGAGGAGGCAGTGGACGGCTTAGGCTCTCTGTGAGGAAACAGTGTCTTCATCCGCTCGGCCCTACGCTGCTCTTTCCTCTCCAGGTACTTCTCCCTTGCCCTCTGTCTCTCTGTCCTCTCTTTCTGTTCTTCCTCTTGCTGCATTTCCATGTCGTTGTCCATCTTCATTTTCTCTCTTGCTCTTACAGTGATTGTCATTTCCACTGTTTTCGGGCTGGTGACCTTCCTTTCTTCCTCTGTCTGTTTGTCTTTCTGTTCCAGCCTCTCCTTCAACGCCTGCAGCTCTGTCTTCAGCTTCTCATCTCTCTGTACAATTTTGAGAGTCTTCCGCTCTTTCTTGGCTATTTTTTCTTTGATTTTCTCTAGCTTTTCTTTCAGCTTTTCTTCTTGCTCCCGGAATCTCATGATCTCCATCTCTTGCTGTTTCAGTCTTTCTTCCAAACGTCTGATGTCATTCTCTCGTTTCTCCTTTCTCTTGTTGAGGTCCATCTCTCTGCTCTCTCTCTGAACTTGTTGGAGCTCTTCCTCACTCTGCCTCTCCTGGATTCTGTCCCTCCTGTTGAAGAGGGTGAAGCAGTCGCTCCAGCACCCGCAGGCTGTGGGACTGGGTGGGGGGCGCAGCTCTCTCTCCTGCTCCATCTCCTGTGGATCTGTTAACTATAAGACGTAAAATGACTGGGTTAATAGAGGTGAGGTTACTAAGTGTGTGATAAATAGCTGCTGTGGACTATCAATGCAGTACCTGCATCGTCTTCCACTGTTTTTTCATTCTCCTCATCTTTCTCAATTTAGAGTTATTAGTATTGTTTAAGGATTTAACCATTTCACCATCCACTGTTTCATTATCAGAAGAGTGAATGAGAAACAGTTTACACTCCAAATTCAGCCTGAGAGTTTCAAATGTTGTCCTTAATGTTAAAAACATAAAATGATTATCAGAATTTCCCAAATGACTGTGTACTGAATTTTAACCCTCCTGCGTGGGAAACTACATTAATAAAGCCTTTTTAATCTAGTAGGGCTTATTGATGGGAAGTTCAGTTCATTTTCCCAAAGAATGAAGAGTTTAATGCTAAAGCTTGGCGCTAACTTAGGAAATCTAATTCAGGGCGCTAGCAGAAATTAGCATAGTGCTTTCGGATGGATACTGAAGGCTATGAAGTGCATTAAAACATTCCTTTCTGCATTAAACACTGCAGTGTAATAACAGTCGAGGCTAACATTTACTCAATTTCATAACCAAAAAGACTAACTTTACTACTTAATTTCAGCACATTAGATACTGTTAATATGTTCTGAATATGTATGTTAACCTGTTTCTGCCGCAGGAAACAGTCTATAGCCATTTAGTAAGACACGATAATGAGAAAGTTTCCCATAATTACGACTTAGTATCTCATTAGTATGACTTAGTATTTCATACGGATGATTTTTCATATAAAAATGACGTATAATATTAACAGAGCTGCATAAATCTGAGAGTCACACGAACCTTTCGTTGATCTCACTGACGAACCGCTCGACGACTCTTCTGTGACGAAACACCGTTTGTGAGCGAACCGACTGCTTTTATATCCGCCCGTCACCATGGATACGAGTCTCTATGACGTCACCGCGTTTTGTGGACGCATTTTGCCCATAAATGGAATTCTGGGCAAAGTGTATCCACCAATCACGTGGCTTCAAAGATAAAATGAATTAATTACGTTTAAAGCCAAAATTCATAAATAAAGGTTTTATTCATATCTGCATTCATGTATTCCTACATTGATTTATGCATTAATATTTTATTGAGTTATTTATTTCAGTACTTCGTCCTTCTAAATAAAATATATTAAATCTTCACTCTATTGCTTAATCCTACAGAAAGCAGGCTGCTTGCTAATCATCGAGCGGTCCTACTGAGCATGCGCGCATCATAATTATAGCGTAATAATGTTTTAAACGTTTTGTTTTTAACGTTAATTCAGCACATACTCCGATTAATATTATTACTTACTCGCTGATAAGGTGATTTATGCGATCACAATATCCTAATTATTCTTTTAATGCTGGTAACGTTTAACGTTACTGATAAGGAGATTTCAAATTACACTACCCATAGATTTCAGTACTGGTAGCATTTTCTGATTGGATCATTCAGGCCATCAAAATATCCCACCTACAGTTTTATGCAGAGCGCTACTTTAAATATGCGGTACGGTAGGACATTTCGACATGGTAGTTCGTCAGAACACCGTAACTAGGATCGCCAAATCATTTCTCCTTTTTTTACCCTTTCATAACTGTTAGGCATCTTTTTCTTTTATTTATTACTTCCCTATCCGTCCACTCTTCCATAAACTGAATTGACTCCAGTTGCCCTGTTTAAATCTATTTAATCGTTTAACTATTCATTTATGATTATTTTCGGCTGAAAATACACTAAATCAAATGATAGTTTCATATTGATTTTATTTCATTTACGTCTCTTTCCCTATGTATCTATCTATCTATCTATCTATCTATCTATCTATCTATGCTTGTCTCTTTTACATCTCTGCCCTCACTGATAACTGAAAAAGCACACATTAAACATGATATAAATGGCTGTCTTCACCAAACTCCAGCTAACGGGAAAGGGAGCTACTCAGTTAATGAGACAAAACGTTCCTGCTAAAATCTTAATAATGTTAGCTACATGATGCTATATCATCAATATGCTGGCTGTGGTATTTTATGAGTAGGTAACACAATACAGCTTTAATTTCTCACCGAATCACTAATATAGCCGACAACGGAGCTTGTAGCCTAAACTGAGCAGTCACTGGAGCTAAAGCTAAAGCATGCTGATTTAGCCAGATTTAGCATCACGAGCAGTCCAAACAGAAAAGAAAATTTAGGGTTTGCTTATAAAATGTGTTAGTTGCGCTCACAAACTATTAGCTAGTTACATTTTTACCACGGAAGTGTCATATGTTAGCCTATAGCATGTGTGCTGCATACCTGAACATCTAAAAGCAGTTAAAGTTACTCTGGTACTCAGCTGTGTAGCGTCTCGTACAGAGATACACAGAGCGGGCAGTTCAGTCTGTGGCCGAACCACAGCTGTTCCCAGGTCAGCTGAGAATCAGTCACTGCTCATGGGTAGACATCGCTTTTTTCCACACTGGATCTCATAAAACTCTTCAGAAACCTTCTGAAACTACCGAGGTCCAGACCTCGGCGTCCTCATAGCTAAGTCATTATTTTGAGATATTATCTCATTATTCTAAGAGGCCAAGTCATTATTTTGAGATGCAGTCATTATTTTGAGATACTATCTCATTATTCTGAGATGCTAAGTCATTATTTTGAGATACTATCTCATTATTCTGAGATGCAGTCATTATTTTGAGATACTATCTCATTATTCTGAGATGCTAAGTCATTATTTTGAGATACTATCTCATTATTCTGAGATGCTAAGTCATTATTTTGAGATATTATCTCATTCTGAGATGCTAAGTCATTATTTTGAGATACTATCTCAATTTTTATTAAATCTTTATTTGTTCATCCCAAAAGTGTAACGCATCTCAAAATAATGACTTAGCATCTAGGAATAAAGAGATAGTATCTCAAAATAATGACTTTGCATCTCAGAATGAGATAGTACCTCAAAATAATGACTTCCATAAGACAAGTCTTGTCTTTTCATATCTTTTCATTCCAAAATATCAGCACTGTGTAGACACAAGATATGTCTGGCAGACTGAATTACAAGGAAAGTATTATGTCCAGGGGCATAACAAGGACATGATGGGCCTCAGAGCAAGAAATGTGCCCCCATATGAAAATTACTTTCAATTAGTAAAAACGACCATGGAATTTGCTTGTTGATTGACTGTTATGTCTCTAACAAGTTGATGCCCTGAAGAAATGGCACTCTGCCCACTAGAACCTACCATTAGCCTAAATCTTTAAGCTAAACTACCTTTTTGAATTGCAATTCTACATCACTTTAGATGTCTGACATGCCACTGGGCAAATGGGTTATTCTCACAAACATGAAAAACACTGGAATGCAGCTTGAAATTAATAAAATGACTTAATGTTTTGGATATACAGACGTTGCCTGGTTGAATAATTAAAAATACACCTACATCATTTAATAAACTGTAACACTCTCCAATTGATGTGACCAATTTCCCATTACTGTTGTCAGATTAAAGTATTTTGAAGTTGATTATTAAATATAATATATTGTATTTTGTGATTTTATTTCATTAGCGTACACATTGACAGCCACATGACAAAACATTTGGTTGTGTTGCTCCACATCCTTTTAGTTTACAAAGAACTGTTAAGATAAAGAGATTCAAGAGTTAAAAGTGATGGAAACTCATTTTTTCTCATAAAAAAAAGGGACAAAATGAAAAATATCACTAATGAGAAACACAGACGCGGACACAGTGCAGTAATGAGAATAAATGCCCAAAAAATGTAAAATACAAAAATGAACTAAAATGTCTTGCTGTACCATAGAGCTCTGAATGATCTACTAAATGGTAGAAATACTGTTTATCTGCGTGATGCTTATGAAATATTTATGGACATGTTTTGAGGCAGTTTCATGAGAATGACCTAAAAAAGAAGGTTACATAGATTCCTGAGAAACTTTTCTCTACAGCATACATAATTGGATCTACAAATTGAATGGAATGATTTGAACATTTAAGATTTTAAAATGATCACTATGAAGAAGAGGGGGATAAACAGACATCAGGGCGGTCGGTGTAGTGCTGATGGAAGCTGAATGGTGAGGTACATGTTAGATCTTTTTGTGAGTCATGGGTGTACAACTGTGCCAGTATCTGTAGAGCATCTAAGGGCCCAATAAACCTTTTCTGGGGCCCAGTCGCCATGGTCCCCAGAACGATTACCTGCCCTCATCTGAAGTAGTTAGCGACTGATTCTGTCAACATGTGTGACCTTGGTGTCAATAGTAGATGCAACGAGTATGATGAATGGGGATATGAGCCATTTCTTTGTGATGCTGTTTCGCATAAGGCCACAGGTAGAAGTCAATGAGGGCTGAGTTTATGTTACAGCTCTGTCCATCTCTCTCCTGTACAAGTTTCCACAGGACGTTCTTAATTCTCTCCACACACCAGATAGAACAGCCTCGGATTTCCACTTCTCGCCTCTCACCAGAACTCAGCAGCTCACCTAGAAGCAGAAAAAAGCATTCAGTTTGCACCATGGGTAAGGAAAGCTATCTGTTACAGTACAGTCCAGGAATGGGCAGGTCTGGTGGAGGAGAGCCGCAGTCCAGCACAGTGATTTACTGCCTTAAACACACCTGATTCAATCTAATCAGGTTTATTAGGTTTTATGCATGAAAATAACCAAAGTGTGCTGGACACAGGTGGCCACAAAGTGTTACCATATGTATAGTATGGTGCACCGTCGTCCTCATATGTAGTGGGACACAATATCAACAGTAGTGTGAGGAGTAGGAAAGATGCTTTTGGTATCCCTTCAAGTCCGTGTAAGTTCAAGCGATCATTTGTTGATCGCCCAGCAAATAAGATATTTACATATTTACAGTAGTGTTGGAGCTCCTCAGCTAATATCCAGCAGCCACTCATGCTCACAGCCAGTCAAGTCAAGGTTTATTTATATAGCACTTTTTACAACAGACGTCACAAAGCAGCTTTACAGAAAAATCCAGGTCCAAGCCCTCATGAGCGTCGCCAATGGCGACGGTGGCAAGGAAACCATCCTAAGAGCAAGAGGAAGAAACCTTAAGAGGAACCAAGACTCAAAAGGGGAACCCATCCTCCTCTGGTCAACTTCGGATAGACTAACACAGCCTAAAAATCTGCCTGTTGCACCTAAACATGTCTGAAAGCCACAAGGTCAATAACATTACACACAATGGCTCCCTTGACCCTACTCCTTCACTCCCCCAAGTAACCCTTATAGTCTGGCTTTGTAGTCTAAGCCCTACACTAATTGAGGCTGGAACACACAAATACAGATTACAGGGGTAACAAATACACCACTGACTTACCATCAACCAATAGTATATCGCTGCTGTCGAAAGAAAACCTCGTATCCTCGTACCATTTTTTTTTGGTTTTTAGTTTTTGACATAGTTTGAAAGTGCCTGTTGTTCTTTACATATATTGTGTACATTTCATGATGAATGGACCAAAAGAAACAGCCCAAAATGATCTGGAAAAATGTCTGGTTCCATTGACTTACCTTAAAAGTAAAGTATGTTTTCTTATTCTCCTGTAAAGTTATAATTTTGGAGATACAAGGTTTTCTTCCTAAAAACAGCGATATGAATATGCAACATCAACTATATTTACGAGGCCATTTCTCATTTCTACACCGGTAAGTACATTTACATTCACATTTAGCTATAGCTTTAATCAACTCTCTTTTCTCTCTACAGCTTTACTCTGGCTTTGCTCCCCCTTTACAGGATAGCTGTGACATCACCCAGCCCCTATTACTGTCTCTCTCTTATGAGGTGTAATGTCTTTTCCCTCTTCTTCAATGGTCAGGACCCCCACAGGACCTCCACAGAGCAGGTATTATTTTGGTAGTGAAACAGAGTGAAAGGGGGGTTCACAAACAAACAGGTGGACTAAAGTCTGTAATTCCAGAACTAAAAAGTGCAACTATATGGTAAGTGGAGTTGATAAAATCAATAAACAGTGTAGATACAAGGAGGTGCACCTAATGAAGTGGCTGGTCACTGTATATACATACATTATTTCCAAAAGCCAGTTAATAAAGTAATAAAGTGTTATTAACATTTCATATAGTTCTGTTGATCTGGGTGACGGTAAAGACACAACTCACCCTTTTTCAGTGCCTCCATAAGGGCATCTGAGTAGCGCAGTGCCCCCAGGTAGACGAGGGCCTGTGGTACCCTGTAATCTGCGAACATGGTGAGGTAGTCCAGATTGGGTATGTTCCCTTCCCCTCTGGCCTCCATGATCCCCCAGAAATCAGCCACCAGGATCTGAGCCCGCTTATAGAAGGAAATCTTCTGGCCCTGGGTTTTCAACATTGCACACAAATGAGGGTATTAAGACAAGAAATTAAAATAAAAGGTGCCTGAAATCCATTTAGTTTCTAATAAGTCTAATAATATTCTAGTTGATATTCTGTTAATATGTCAATGTATGAATATTCACTGTAATTCTGTTAAAGGGCCAAATGTCATGGAAAGCTTGCTTTTTGGAATTAAAAAAATTTATCCACCATGTAAACACCCTAGTGTTTACAAACTCCCCAGTCTATATATATATAGAAGTTCAGCTGCAAAAACAACCCATTTTGGCTTCTTCACGGTTGTGATGTCACTACCATGAACATATTTGCATATAACAGCCCGTTCCACCTACAAAGGTTTAGCCTGTCCATTCGTGTTACATTATGTATACCTCAAAGGTGGCTTCATCCCTGTATGACGGTATATTATCCACAATGTATCGCACCATCTTCTCCGCATCGTTCTGTCCGTGACTCATGAAGTTCCGGAAGGATCCACCATGCTGCATGAGCACTCGCCCTGCCTCAGTGAGGGCCTGGTGACGCTCCTTCAGCATGGGCATGGGCGTGGCACTATCTGAACGAAGGACACGTTCCAGTTCCGCCTGGCTGATCTTGGAGAAGTAGGCGGGGTCTGTGATAGGCACGCCTATGAAAAAGGCAGAAAGAACATCAGTCGATTCAGAACCAGAGCTGATTCATTTCAACAGCTCAGCCACTGATCACTCAATAAAAATACAGGCTGGATGAAACCAAAACACTACGTTCAAAAGTTTGTCTTATTTTATATACAACAATGATGTCCAGTGTAAAAATTATGAACTAAGCATCAAAAAGTATTTTATATACTTTAATCGCTCAATATTTAAAACATTTTGGGAACAAGAAGATGTTTTATTCAACATATATAGTATAATATGTGTAGATAAAATGTAATTACCTCATTATAATACTTTTTAGTCAAGCTATCTACTTGATCACCACTGTGATAAAATTGATATACAGAATTTCTAGTATTATCATAATGTATAATTTTTTTCTGCCTATGAATCTATTATTTATTTATGGACATTAATTTATTAAACTATATTTTTATTACTTATTATTAAATATGATCTTTCTGTTCCTATTTTATTAGTAGTATATCTTTTTGGATACTCATTTTTTTATATATTTTTTAGGATTTACTATTCTTTTATATTATTCCATAAAATATTTTTATTACTACTTAATTCTTGAGGTTTTCTTTTTGGATATTAATTTAGTTATAATTTGTCATATTTTCCTTCTTTATGGACATTAATTATATCATTATTATTTCTTTCTGTATATTATAATTATTATTATATTATGGATGAATACTAATACTGTTATAATTTGTTTACCATTTACTACTATTATATATCACTGTATATTATAAAAATATTAACTTCATTCTTGATGATTTCTTTCTGGATATCAGTGTAATTGTATTATAACTTATTTATTATCTATTATTTCTATCTGTTTATTAATTTCGTATTATTATTACTTTTGCATCCTAATATTGTTATAATTTGTTTAACATTTGCTACTATTATTCAGCATTCTTTATAATATTAAAATGAAATTTACTTTTTGAATAATGCATTTATTATTGTTATTATGTTTATTATTATTATTTATTAAGAGTATTGGTTTTTATTAGGACCTGACTCTGTACTCGTGTGACTGTAGGACACTGCAGATGCACTCACCCTCGTCCATAGCCCTGGTGACAGCTGCACACAGAGACATGTATCCACGGTAGGTGTTTCCTTTGTAGATGACTTCACACTGCTGGTCTTCTCTGTCCGGCCAGAAGGAAAAGTTCATGGTGTCCGTCACGAACACCCAGTTAATAGCCTCGTCTGAGTCCGGAGAGGGAGCGAGAGGGTTCATCTTCTTCCAGCCGCTGGCCGTGAACTCCTCACTGTCCTTCAGCCCGTAGAGCATCTCCGCTACTCTCCTCACCCCATCCTCATCCACAGACACATCTCTGCTCCGCTCCGCCACGAACTGACCAGACTCTCGAGGAGACAGGGGTCGGTCCATTCTGTAAACCTGAAATCTAAATGTACCTTTTATTTTAAACCTTGTTGGTTCACCATTCTGCTCATAATCATATCCCACCATTTAAAATAATATCTTTCCTGTAATCTTTAATGGAAGTGTAGTGAGTTTTCCTTGTCTCTGAAACGTAGTTTACAGGAGTTCTCAAACACTTCAGTGTCACTGCTGGACTGAGAAAAGTCCAACAACCAAAAATATCCAGCCTGTGACCACTGATGAAGGACTGGAGGATGACCAACACAAACTGTGCAGCAGCAGATGAGCTACTGTCTCTGACTTTACATCTACAAGGTGGACCAGCAAGGTAGGAGTGTCTAATAGAGTGGACAGTGAGTGGACAGTGTTTAAAAACTCCAGCAGCACTGCTGTGTCTGATCCACTCGTACCAGCACAACACATACTAACACACCACCACCAGCGCATCAATGCCACTGCATAGCTGGGAATGATCCACCACCCAAATAGTACCTGCTCTGTGGGGGTCCTCACAACTGATGAATGGGTAACAGATCATGCAGAGAAACAGATGGACTACAGTCTGTAATAGTAGAGCTACAAAGTGCACCTATATGGTAAGTGGAGCTGAGGAAATGGACAATGAGTGTAGAAACAAGGAGGTGGTTTTAAAGTTACAGCTGATCCGTGTGTGTATCGTTATACCCCTATTATGTGGTAAAAGCCCACAGAAGTCACACAGTCTGAGGGGCACTGAGCTCTACACCTCACTAGTAACCTTAGAGACGCAAACTCACTTGGGCTTATTTCTAACTAACGTTACAAACGTTAAATCAACGCGCTTCATGAATCTGTTTGGTAACTGCAGAACAGACATACCAGAACACGAGCTGCAGCTGCAGGTGCACCAAAAAGAAACTCCCGAGAAGGAAGGAGAAGCAAAGCTTGCAGGAAAGTTTCACCGGCCAAAGTACGTTCATTCAGAAATACAAACACATTTGCTTCACTAGATCTACAGCGCCACCCAGCGCCGCGGAGTGCAAGACCAGGCCGGTTTATGCAACCTGGCCTCTCCCTATTTCCCCCGTTATACCAAAAAGTGGACCGCAGAACAGCAGAGGGCGCCCGCGAGCGAGACCTTACTGAATGGGGTGAATGGAGCTAAACGGCTAAAAACAAGTTAAAACAGTTTCTAATCACCTGCCCACAACTTTTTAATTTTAGAAAGTAGAAGGATTTATTTCATTAAAAAAAGGAAAGAAAACTCACCTGTGTCTCCTTTATCTACAGCAAACGGGTTTTGTTCAGCAGGACGCTAACATTACTGCTACTGAGGGCTGGGTGGTTGGCGAGCGGAGCAGCTCATTGTGTGTTCGTGCTCATGACGTCATTTTTAGCCCTATAACTCGAGTATTAAAGCTCTTAAAAATATAACAGCAGTGTTAAAATGTTTTAAGCTCTTCTTTGTTCAGAACATGAATGTATTTTTATATTAAAAATGAAAAACTATGATTTTGCTCGAATGCTCCGTTTGAACCCATTCAGTTTGGACTCGCTCAGCAGCGCCCTCTAGCGTTTGAAAAACTCGGAGGACATTACGGAGCGATTATTCACCTTTACAAGTTCTCGGTTAAAAACTATTTACATTTTCATGTTGAGCTGTTCATCTCTATTCAAGTCATGTAGGATCTGCTTACGGGAAACTTTTTTGCAATTTTTTTTGACATTATGGGAGAAATAAGAAGTGGCCAGGCTCCCCTTAAACTGGCTCTGGTCCAGCATTGAGTCAAAGACTACATGGTAGAGTTACTCATTTTCTTTGCATTGGAAAATTGGTTAGTTGAAAAAAAAGTCCTATTGTATGTGGCAATGTTTTAAATAACAAAGTTTATATTTCCAAATACTTAAATTGTTAAGATGTAAAAGTTATTCAGAGTGGTTTAGTGTGAGATGCTCTGTTGTAGAGAAATTAGTCAGAATTGTTCAGTGTTGGTGATAGGAACACTAGCAGAAAATGACTGCATGAAATTGGTTACAAATACACTCCATGATACTTGAGGCATTGTGTGATGAGGCTTTTGTCATAAAAACGTACTTTTTGAAAAGCTGATGGGGACATACAAGGTGCTGTTAGGCAAAATAATACCTAAAGGATCTAATTTTCAGGGATTGACCACTATTTTACCTTTAACATCATCAAAAGATGTGTAGATCCACTGGTTGGCAATAAAATGTCTATATTTGTATCCTAGACTTTGTAAGCTCTGGTTCCTCACCACTGCTGTAAAGAAATCTTTAGAATTACTGGAATTCCCCTTAAATTCCCCTTAAAGAATCTGTTTACTTATTCATAGACCACACTGCAGCGGTAACAATTCATAAAAACTGGCATCTCTTTATTATGTCAGACAAAGGACAAAATTCTTCAAATGTGTCTGGGAGAGGAATTTCAAAGACATTGAGTAAAAAAATAAAATAAAAATATGAAAACAAGAAAAAGAAAAAAGGAGGGCGGGAGGAAACCCACAATTGCTGCTGTGCCCTGACAATACAATCTAAAGCATAACTTCATATCCACTTTCCTCAAAATAAGTCAGAAAGAAAAATGAAAAGGGGAGGGGAAATGACTGTGGGCCTAATTCTAGAGTGGCAGACCTACAAAAATTCCAGAGGTAGAGCAAATTTAATAAATACTGGGTTTTAAAAACCCAGCGACAGACTGGAGAAAAAAAAAAAGGGATACACAGATCACCAACATCTAAATCATTTCTCCAGGCATCACGGCTTCCAGCGGAGGAGCTGCGATAAAGCCTGGAATTCTACGGCAGAGGAAACACCAACACACTGACAGGACAGGTACGGGAATTCTGGTGAATATATTGATTTTCTTTTCATATAAATCACTGAATATTTACATATAATTTTCTCCACACAGCCCCAATAAAGTTTCTTTAACTCAGTAAGAGAGAAAAGTAAGCAGTTTTCTTTTTTTTTTTTTAAAAAATCATAAAAAAAATCCCAGATTTCTGTGTACATTCTGGACTCATTCAGGATGGTTGGTTGAGAAAAAGAAAGAAAATGCTCACAGCTGTTCCAATTGCAAACAGAAAGCTGACTTGAAAGAAATAAAGGACCTGCACAACATCTAGCAAAAACCTAATACGGTGATTCTGTGAAGCACTGGAAGTGTGGCCCTTCTAACAAAATCAGAGATTTTAAAAAAAAAATATTTTGCTTGGCATTTTAACAAAGATAAGAAGTTTGGAGGATATCTGAATATATCCTTCACACAGGGTTGGAAATACTCAACCAGAAAATATAAGTTTTTGTAGCATACAAGAAGATGGAGAAGAGTTTTCACAAACAGGTCTCGTGTGCTAGGAGTCAGGCAGCACTGCTTGGAGCGAGGAGCTGGAGTGGAGCAGAGCTGCAGTGGGCTGGAGGTCCTGAGAGAAGTGGGGATGGGCCGGGTTAGTCGTGGTGGTGTCTCAGGAGGTGGAGAGCGCTGCAGAGAGAAAGATGATTGAGAAAAGAGGAGTCAGGCACCGCTGTAGAAGTATTCAGAGCAACTACAATGATGTCTAAAGCTAATTACACTAATAATAGAATCTCACAAAAGCCAATAGCTTGTTGTATCTAGGGTACATTCAAGACTGGCTGGATTTAAGCAGACCCTTAGTACAGCACAGTTTGGTGACTTCTCTAGTCACACAGACCAGATCCAACTAATCAGTTAATTAACAGGGTGTACATAACCAGGGAAATAACCAAACTGTGCCGGACTCCTGAATCCCAGGACTGGACACGCTTGACTTTATGCAAGCTATGCATGTACAAAATTCAAACGAAATCTCATGAGCCAGCTAAGCAAACCGGACACAGAAAGCTATCATGAGGGTTAGTGAGTCTCTCTCTCTCTCAACGTTCCAGATCTGGCTTCAATTTAGCGGAAAACCGGCCCATGGATATCTGCTGCCATGATATAAAAGCAATAATCGGCCATCAAAAGTTACCCAACTGTCTGAATGAAATTTAACAGTGGAGTGAGGCCAAAAGGTCCTCCCTTAAATTTCCAAACGTCAGAGACAAACAAATTTCCGCAGCAGTGGTTTAACAGGCTCTACAGGAACGCAGGGTCTAGAGTAGTTGAAATGCTAACAAAAGAATATAAATAAAGTTACTGCACCTAAAATTACCAAACAGCATAAAAGCCCAGTCCTCTCTGAGAACACAGCACTAACTACATTTCCAAAGACTTTCTGCGCAAATATTGCGATTTATTTCTATTTTCTGCAAAAGGGTTGTACAGATTTTCAGTAAACAAAAAAATTAACAAAATTACTGATTCAAAAAATGTTAAGTAAATAAAAATTAGTCTTCTAAAAAACCTGTGTACCTTGAGCTTCTCTGATTTCCCATCACCTAGTGATAAGGACATTTTTCCCCCTCGTTGGATTGTTTCTTTGCCATACAAAGCTTTTTGAGTACTTTCCATATAGAAAGCCTTTAGCCTTTTCTGGACATCTATCTGTAAGAGCTGAAAAGTGGCAGCATTCATTCCTCAGTCCAGCTATATCCCATGCTGTTTGTATTTGATGTAATGAGGCACAAAAGGAAGATCTGTCACATGACACTAAATGAATGTATGAATGTTATTTTTCATGGGGAAAGAAAAGGCAGCTATAGTTTAACAGAGAAAACTTGACATTTCCAAAAATATTATCAATTTGTTTCTACAGCCTATGTCCACTTTTTTTTGAGTTTTTAAAGTGTTAAAACATGTTTCATAAGAAAATGTTTGGATGAAAATGTAGACGAGGAAAAGAGCAACTGCCTAAACAAGTTTTAACAGTCTTCACTGATAACATCTATATAGGCATCTTTAATTGTAAAATTTAATAAATTACCACACGGTCAGACATGAAGGACTAATTATTTAAAAGACAAATATATGCAACATATCAACTGAATAGAATAAACAAAAACTGAATGCCTGCAAACAAACCACATGGTAGGGGGTGTTTGGGACAAAGGAAGAGCAAGAGGCAGACTCTGTAGGACTTGCCTGTTCTGTAACAGGTACTGTGCGTTCTGAATCTGGTCCTGGGTCCCCGTGATGGTAATGATGCGATCTTCAGAGCCCTGGAGCGGCTCGTCAATTTTGATCGATGCTCCGGATTCATGGCGGATCTGCTTGATCCTCTGGCCTCCCTTTCCAATGATTGACCCCGCCAACTGGGAAAAAGGCATGAGTAAGTTTATTCTGTTTGCATTCAATCTACCTCTGCTTGCAGAACTCATGGAGCGTCACATGGAGGCATGTACCGTACAGTATTGTACTGTGAAACATCACTGTAAAAAACACTTACATCTTTGGGAATTGTCACTTGTGTTGTGATGACAGGGCTTCCCATATCACCATAGCTACCCCTTCCACCTGAACCACAAGCATACAGACAAGAGTGAGATCTCAGAACAATCAACATTGCTTGTAGTATAATTCCAGTGCCCTAGTTTGTAATGAGTTAGAATACTTACCAGACTGATAGTTGTCCCAAGAGGAGGAGTTGTCTAATGTGAACGTAAGAGAAAACGGAAGACAGATGACGAATAGGTTTTCCATTACTAATGAATAGAAAATTCAACATTATTGCTTAAGTACTCTAAAAGGAACACTTACCATATCCGCCATCATTCTACAGAGGTGGAGAAAAAGAGGAAAAATGTAAGAAACCCAAACCTGCACACGCTTTTAGCCAACTAACAATAAACCAATGCCCGCCTTCAGTTGATCTGTTAGCTCTCCCGTTTCTATAGCAACTAGCAATTCAAATGTCTGTTGCCAGGTAACAGTGGGCAGCTGCTGTCTGTCACAGTCTGACCATCTGCCCCTTTAAAGAGTGGGAAAACACTTTTGCTGTGAGCACCACTTTTCAAGCTCGCATATCTTCGCTATCCACTTTCATTTCATCATACAGTCTGTAGTTAACCAACAAGTGAGGTCCTAGGATGTACTCACCATGCTGCCACTATAACGGTCCCGGGGTCTCCCTCTCCTGTCCCCGCTGACAAGAAAACGAAGAAGAAAAAAAATACAACCTGAGACATTTAGGACAAAAACTGGCTAACCTACATAGCTACTTTCAAAAGGCTACTTAAGTAATTTTTCTAGTATTTATCTTAGAGTTATGTCTGGCTTAAGCATGCTGAAGAGCAACCATGCAGAAAACTACATAAAAATTAAGCAATGAGGTTACACACCAGACACATGGAATATGAGATGTGGTGAGAAAGCGTGAAATGTAGCTCTACAAACCCTTCCTAGACCAGCAGTGTCCTATAACACAAACTACAAAAAGAGCTGCTGCACTACGGTAAGGGACTTACTGTCTGTCGTCTGAGTGGCTGCGGTGGGAGCTGTAGTACTGGTCGTCACTGTGAACATAGTATGTACACATAGTATGTCAGCCCCCATCAGGCAATACCAATGAATACTTACAAACGTATCCCACCTTATATGGCTAGTCATTTTTAAACTTTTAAAGCCCTACCTACACTACTGTTCAAAAGGAACCATTTGACATTTTACACAATAGCAACTACACGACGTAGATTTCAAGATTATAAAAGTGTCTTTAGATGTTTTATGCAATGTTTAAAGCCTTTTGGGATTAGGAAGCTATTAATTGATAAACAATCAAACTAAAACTATGCACAATGACACTGGAATCATATCAGTGTTGGGAAACAGCTGCTATAAAAAATAAATCAAACAAAAGTATTAGCACTGGACAGATTTAGTAGTAGTAGAATATTTTCCTTAATAAGTATAATAAATTTAAAAAAGGTTATTACAACAGATAGACACTAACAACAGACACAAGCTTGCTTGCCAGTCACAATACATTGATAAAATACAGAACACCACAGTATAATTCGCTTCGTTTTGTCACAGCTTCGTTTTGTTCATTTTCACTTACTACTGTTTATATGAAAGCTGTGAAGTTACACAGAACTAGCATATTTGAATCATTTTTATATTGTCTAATTACACCGCAAATTCACTAGTTAAAAACACTGATTCCAAACTTCTGAACGAAAAAGCTTAACTAATAAAAGCATAATCAAAGCACGATTCCATGGAATCGGACATCAATAGTAACATATAATGCAGGGATGGTACGAGTGACAGTCTGCTTACCCTCTGCGGTGGTGGGGCGGTCCCATGGGCATATTCCGTGGAGGTCTGCCCCCTCCTCGGCCTCCTCCTCGGGGTGGTGGGGGGCCTCTGCGTGGGCTCATGTCATCATAATCTCTCCTGCTGGGTGGCATATGGTGACCTCCACGCCCACCGCGGGGTGGCATGCGGTCAAACCCGCCTCCGCCACCACGATCCCGTGAGGGGAAGCCTCCCATTGGACGACGGCCGCGCTCCTCATACATTGTGGTGTACCCACCATAGTCATATGTTTCATCATAGAAGTTGGGGTCATACTGCTGGGCACGACCTTTAATTGGTGCCTGGAGTGAAACAAGCATGCAAGCATGTAAATAAACAAGAACTCAACACTGACACACTTAACAGTGTGAGGTCAGGTTTTACCTCTACAATGAGCTCCAGCATGGTCTTAATACACTGGACAACCCTTTCTGCTTTGCCCCCAATGAGCACTACACGGTCAGTTGACTGAGGGCAGCACTCCTGGAACAGCTTGATGGTTGTCTGGGTGCTCTACAATAATAAATAAATCAAAATAACCATTACAATGTGGAGCAGTCACACTGTTTTTGTTTTATAGAAGTTGTAACCAACCCAATTAAGGTACACTAAATCCTTTCTACAAAAATCCAGAACTTTCTTACCTCACGTAGCTCTTTGATTTTGGCTCCCTTTACACCAATGATGCTGCCTGCTAAACTCTGATGAATCAGCAGCCTCAACTCGCAGTCAAAGTCCAAACCTTTGTGATGTTGGTACTGCACCAACCAGAAAACAGAAACAAATATTTTATTTAAACACTTCTAACAGAGCCAATCAACATTTATGTTTTCATCCAAAGGGTCTTTTATGATGCTTCCAAAAGTTTGCTGATGTCGTCTATGGAAACGGAAACTGTTGGCAATATTTTATTAATGTCTACAACACTTTTTTTTCCCTGTTTAACTGTGGCAGAAAAATCGATACTAAAACCTACAATTCGAACTTTTTTGTTAACACATTTACTCAAATGTAGTGTTTGACATTTCATCTCTTACAATAAACAAAAATCAAACACAAACAGCTAAACGTTACTGTAAAACATCTCAATATGCAGAGAAAAGTGATCTCAGGGAAGACACTACATTATGACAACATTTCGTAAAGCGTTTTATCGCTTGTAGAACATCAATGGAAACTTGGAAAAGATCTGTACAAAACAAAAATAAGAGAAACTGAGCTCACCTCCTCTAATGTGGGGATGATTTTCAGCAGAATTTCAGCTACAGTTGGGATGTCCGCACTGATACTCAGGATCCTTATGATTGTATTACGTCACACAAAGAGATAAGAGCAAAAACAAACATTAGAAGAGTGTAGGGTATTCATGAAACATTGCACTCCTGTCAGAGCCTGTCTGCTGTGCTGTGTATGAATAAATTATCCACAGGCTAGGTGTGTGGTCATGCACTCCCTCATGCTTTTGACTGTACAGAAAAGGAGTGATGAGGCGCAGCAAAAGAGAAAACAAACAAAGGTGAAGCCCCATCCGGTTCCTGAAAAGGCAGGATGGAGAAGAGGAGGAGATGCACAGTGTATAGTAAAGAAGTGCTCAAGAACTTTAGCACACGTTAGCTCTGATGACAGAGGATGGAAAAGAGTGGGAACTGAATGGGGGAGAGGGAACTGAATGGGGGAGAGAGAGAGAGAGAGAGAGCAAGGGAGCAAAAGCTATACAGAGTGGGGAGAAGAATCTAAGGTGTGGAATGAGTAAGTGAAGCAAGAGGTCCTTCACCGTTAGAGGAAAGATGGACAGATTTGAAACAGAGAGAATGTTGAGGAGAGGAGATGCACAGCAGCAATAAGACAATCTTTGGGCTTTCCAAATTAGCCAAAAAAACACGAACACATCACACCACAAACAGAACAAGAGAAAAGGAATTCATGTATTTTGCACTGCCCCCTCACCATTATGTACTTATCTTATCTTTTCATTAGTAAAAATGTTTACATGGAAACTAGAAGACATTGATCAACAATGTAAATATGGTTCAAAAAGCTTAAGCAAGTCAAATAAACTACTTCTAAGTGTGCTTTTGGTTTCTTTGGGTGAGGACGAAGAGAGATAGCACCTTTGAAAGGGAGGGAGTCATTAAATGACTGAGATGGCAGCACAGGCACTTTACATAACATTACAGCACTTATAACTGACAGCTATGACAGTATTGTAACCATATTTATGAGTGGTCGTTTATGGCAGTAGGGAGTATTCTGGTACATGAAGGACATCATTAACAGTACTGGTATTGGCAGTAACAGTGCTGACAGTACTTGGAGGTTGGAGTATCTGAGTGGCACGTACCGCTCGGGCCCACTGCTGTCTGGGACTGACACAGTGGCATTGTACTGCAGGGCCAACCACCCAGAGCAATCAAGCACACAGATGTCAATCAAGTAAGGCGCCCAATAGGGAGGGCACGATTATGGGCGGGGCCAACCAGGGAGTCAGGAGGTCAGGCGGCAACGCAGGTGGGCGGGACAAGTCGATCCAGAATATGGGAATTGGCCAGAAATAAATAACAAATAAAACAAAAACAAGGAAAAGGGGAGAGGGAGTGGAAGAGGAGTACATTTTTAATTGGAAAAAATTTCACTGCGATTTCATACTCTCATAAAGTTGGAGGAGAATGGAGGACAGGACAAGAAGAAAGAGCAATGAGCATGTATTTTGGCCTGCATAAAATACTATAGGTCTATAAATGCTTGCCGCTAATTACTTTTACTCAAAGAGTATTTCAACTTCTAGGATTCAAAATTCCCTTGAAAAACTAATTAGTTCATTAAATTATGGAACAGGGTGGCAAAGCTGAGTAGCAGAAGTTGAGTTTTTTCAGAAATATTAGCATGGTAACATAAACCTACAGTAGAAAAAGGTGCTCTGCCCATCACAGTTTACAGCCTCTGTAAATGTATACATGTGAGTATATGTGGACGTGTGCATACTAGCTCCAAAAAGTAGACAGTTGCGTACTCACATCAGTGCGCAGAGCTTTGATGTTCTTGCCTCCCTTTCCGATCACAGCTCCTGCATTCTGGATTGATAGGACAGGCAGTTACCCAATCGGTATTGTGAAACATTTCGATTGCGCTGTAAGCCAGTATAAAGGCACTTACTTTGCTCTGTAGCAACACACGCAGCTCCACCATATCATCAGACTTTCGAGAGCGTTTATAGGTCGGCTCGTCGTCACCATCCTGTGCAGGACGCTTGCCTGGGAGACACATACAAACATGAGCTACAGTAATCAACAACACATGCTTGCTATTTAAATATCATTACATTCACAGATGATAAAAAGATAAAGTGAAACTTCTGGTCTAACACAGACTCATCTCATAGCTATTAGTAACATCAACATACATCACTCCTGCATCAATCTTGTTTAGATGCTGATCATGTTTTTTAGCCTTCACGTGTAATTAAAAAGGGATGCACAATGATTTGAGTCACACTGGTAGCGATGGTAGAAACGAGTAAGACAAACATTTAGGTTTGTTTGGAGCTCTCCTGTTTGAAGCAGATGTTTTAAAACAGCTGGCTACTAACTGAATGATGTAAAAAAATTAGGCGTGGCTAAGTATAACAGATTATTTTTATTCCTCAAAAAATCCACACATCAACATGAAACAGGGACTCCATGAAATGTACAGGCATGTGAACAATATTGTGTTCAGGAGTTAAACAGAATGCATTTCGCTTTTAACCAAGTAGTCAGTTCACACAGAACGTAGAGAAATTCCTGATGTTATGAAGCCTTTGTGACTTCAGGTTATGGGTTGAAAAATAAATAATTTTTTATTGAAAACACAATTTGAAAGAGTGCAATTTTCAAATCGCAAGAGCTGCAATTTTTATTATAGTCTTGTATTGTGTACAGTGTATTATGAACAATGTTGACACGATCAAATTTAAAAGTAGGGAAATTTCACCTACATGGAGCTTGTAAACTGCTGTGACATGACAACAACAAATAACTAGTAGGCTGGCGCACTGTGTTAGGAGTTTAAGTCTTAAGCCAGAAGAAGTGCACGCTGGTCTTCATTGCCCAAAAAAGGCCCATACCTCAATTTATACGTCAGTTATAAAGAACAGCCATTTGAATTGTAATCGCAATATTGGTCAGAAAATTTGCAATTAGATATTTTGGCAAAATCGTTTAACCCAACTTCTTTCAGAGCATCTCAGAAACTATTAAATTTTACCGACATTTCAAACAGATTTGATAGCATATTTACTGTACTCTGTAAGAACAGAAAGTTGAGACAATACTGGGCTAAAATGTCTGCATTTTATTTATTTTATTGCATTTGTAAACTTACAGAAATCCAATTTAGATTTCTCTGTAATGCCATCTGCCCACAATTCCCATATCATTGCATCCCTAAAATTAACATAACTCTATACACAGCAAAGTAGAAATCCAAGATGGTCCCATATCTTACCGTTGCTCTCTGGGCTGAAAGTGGTCTCTTCTTCCTGCTGCTCGTTATCTGTATCCATTATCTATCTACACTGCCTGCAGTGATCAACTGCTTTCTCTGCAAATCTGAAACAAAGGTGAACAGGATGATAAAAGAAAACTGTAAGCATGGCAAAAATGTCAGAAAATATCATTACCCTATCACTTTTAAAACGTACCACAAATTTCAGAGCCAAACTAGGTTGCTGATGTCCAACAGGGATTAGACCCACAAGCACACCAACTGAAAAGGGTAAAAAGATCAGAATGGGCTAGGTTTCATAAACCTTCTCCGAACAGGAGTGCTGATCTAGGGTCAGAGTTTGTCTTATTTATGATTATGTTACTGACAAAAACAGATCAGCTGGTCCAGATCTTACAGATCGAGTCACTACTGACCTTAGTTTAATCAAATACATACTTCAACGGCTTGACTTGCTCTGCATCATTGCAGAGATGTTAGAACGAGCTAAGTACAGCCTAAGCGCAGAGGTGAAATATGAGAGATATGAGAAACATGACAAACATTCACCGCCGAATTATCACACAAAAACCAAACCACTGAACAAGGAAGTAGCGCGTCGAGATCACGCTCTCACGTCGAGTCTAATGGAAAATGATGGCGTGCACCGATTAATATTTCATCATATCAGCTTACGGTCAGGGTGATTTAACTGAAAACTGTTCCAGGACTTTGGACAAGCCGCTTTATAAGCTAAGCGGAAAACAAATGGACGTGGTGGGGAGGGTAGCTAAGCTCTTCAGTTGCTATGCTAACATTCAAAGAGGAAAAAATGCAAACAACAGATGCGAAGAAATCTCACTCGCCCATTCCTTTCATTACTTTCCCTCAGTCGTCGAACAGAATTAACCTAGAATATTTAAAAGGCGTATTTTCTTCGTAAAATGCATTATCTAGGTACCCAATAATGCAACAGTTAAGCGCTCAGCTGCTAAGCAGAAAACCAGGTTGGCTAATTAACAATAGACGGCTCAGGCTAGCTGTGCTAAGCTAACTTCCTCTTGCTGGATGCAGCAACTAACGTTATCGGCGTTTCTACGTTACACTAAAAACCTAAAAAGTACATTAGTTAAATGACTTACTGTTCAGTTATGTGCCTAAATCTTATTATTACTTTGAAGCACTTGTGAATTCAGCTACTTAATATACTGGCGACGACATAAAAACCGGAAAATTGAAAATGAAACATTGGCTAACTCGACTGCCCACCTAGCTAACGTTAGCTAGCTAGGTTAGCAGAGCCTCCCAGTTACACCAACATTAGCATTAACGTCGCTTTCCAGTGATTAAAACTAATTTCAGAAAGCAGACTCAAACGCAGAACGCTCACAGTTTTAAAGCAATTATGAATAAATATCGTGTACATTTATATCTATTACACACAACGAGAAACACGGCACCAACCTGCTCAGCGTTCGCCCCCTTACGAACGACGATGCATAAAAACTTGAGAAGGGGGAAAAAGCCGCTTCAGCCTCGGCCAATGAAAGCTCGTGCCGCCATAATGAACAGCACTCTGATTGGTCCGTATTGATCCAAGGGCGGGAAACGAAGCAATGATTGGACAAATGAGCTGTCAATCTTAAGTTCCCCACCCGCCGCGTCCTTAGCAGGGTTGTTCGGCTGTACTGATGCTGTTTGGTAACTGACTAGCTGTGAAGGCACGTTTGTGCTGTTTCACTACTTTCACCTAAAAGTTTATTTCAGAGACTATTAGAGGAATGATAGAGGAGATAAACAGTGGCGCTAAACTCAGCTTAAGTATTATAGCTGCTTGTGAGTCGTTGCGAACCTTAAACCGACCTGCAGCATCTTTGCTAAAATCTCGCTAGCTGCCTGGTGAGTATGTTTGCTGTTGTAAGTGAAGTCTGTCCACTTCTGTTTGTGTCGCGGTAACGTTGAAGATAAAGATCCAGCTCAAACAGATGTTGTACCGGGGTGTTACAGCAGCAAAGATCAAGTACATTTTCGGAAAGATTAATCACGCTTTCGGTAAAAAAAAAAAAAAAGATGGAAAAACATATTTCAAGACTTATTTTAGGGTGGGATCTGTCCATTGGATGTAACGCATAGAAGCAGTTAATCTGAGAGCGTCCCACACATTTTAAAGGGGAATTCTACCGATATTTCTACATTTCTGCATAATTAAACGGTTAAGGCATAAAGAAATTCATCCAGAGTGATTTGATGTGAAATGCTCAGTTCCAGAGAAACTAACACAGTCAAATTTGTTCACACTGGTGGTGAAATGAACCAGGGGTCATGATGTCTACAACTTTTCTGGTTTCTGTGAAATGTTGTTAAAGGTGCAATAGTAGAAGATCTGAAAAAGATATATTTTTGAGCACTATTTTTCCTTAGAATGGCCTGAATGTACCCCTCCACAACTTTTTTGTCTTTCATTTTAAAATACGCTTTAAACTTTATTACAAAACTATTCTTAAACAATATCTACGTTGTCAGGCAGTATATTCACAACTGTTTTGTGTACTAACTTGCTTTGGGGAAGCTTTTAGAGGCATTCAACTCTTTGGACGTCTGGTTCCTATCACCACCACTGTGAACAATTTTGACTATGTTAGTCAGTAGTATATTGCTTAAGAATAATTTTGTAATGAAGTTTAAAGTGTATTTTAAAATGAAAACAAAAAAGTTGTGGAGGGGTACATTCAGGCCATTCTAAGGAAAAATAGTGCTCAAAAACATGTATTTTTATCAGATCTACTACTATTTTACCATTACCAACATTTCATAGAAATCATAAAAATGGTTATGTCTACCTTGTAGACATCATGACCCCTGGTTCCTATCACAATTTGCTACCTTGTACTTCCAAGCACTGGACATTTTAGATGTCCAGTAAGCAGGTGGACTGTGTCTATATGTGCCTGTCATATATAATCTATCAATGGTCTGCCAGACAAGTTTTTAAGTACAGTATAAATTATGATTTTTATGACTGGACTATGAGATTTTTCACTTGTTTATTCACTATTTGTGTAGAGAAATCTGGTCCTGTGGGGAGCAAGAGGATGCCAACAGCAGGTGATGCCCAGGTTACCCAGGCATGGCTGCGCTCCACATGGCAGGTCCAGGTACCTCAAACTTGGCTGGATGCTTGTGTGGAATGGGTCCTGGAGGAGGCGGCAGGTGCAGCCGTGCCTCAAGCCAGACTCAACCAGCAAGTTCTGGAACAGTGGCTACTCACTGACCTCCGTGACCTCGCCCATCCCATCCTGCCTGTTGGTGTTTCCGAAGCCGAGAAGATGGAGCTGAATGGCTGCTACTGCCTACAAGTGGACTCCCTGCTGGACGTCAGTCAGCCGGCCTACTCTCAGCTGCAGCGTGTTCGTGGTGCCGACTGTACCAACGAACAGGTCACTGCCGTGACACAGGCCACCCAGAAGCCGTGGGAGGCTAAGCCCACGCGCATGCTGATACTACAACTCACTGATGGGGTGCAGAGCCTGGAGGGAATGGAGTACCAGCCCATCCCAGCCCTTAACTCCAGTCTGCCTCCGGGCACCAAGCTCCAGGTGGTGGGAAAGGTGGTGGTGCGTCTGGGGGTGCTGCTGCTGAAATCAGAGAATGTGAGGGTTCTCGGTGGGGAAGTGGAGCAGTTGGTGGAGAGACATTCTCAGGCCAGAGTGCTCTGTAGGACTCTAGGGTTGCCTGAGGAAAACCAGATGCAAGGAGCAGAACCAAATGATCAGGAGCTCCTTGCTAGTGTGGAGGCTGTGGGGGAGCGTCAGATAGGAGGGGCATCTGTCGACAGTGGTTATGACAGCAATGGCGGCAGCCTAATCTTAAGAGCTTCTGTGGGACCTCAGCAGTCTTACAGCCATCAGGTAGAGCCTTCCCTTCAGGTGACAACTCCTTTTAACAGCCACAATTTGGATGATTCTCAAGATGATGACATTCCGGATAACTTTGACTATGTACCTGAGGACTTTGATGACATTCCAGAGAACTTTGATGATATTCCAGAAAACTTTGGCAATGCCCCAGAGGACTTTGATGACATTCCGATGGAAGAACTGGACAGCATGATGACACCTACAGAGACAGAGGTCTTTCCCAGGAATGGAGCAATGGAATTTGGTGGGATGGAACAACCGACCATTCCAAGCTCAGACTCAGGAAGGCTAGCCAGCCACGTCAACCAGCCCACAGCTGGAGGACGAAGCCACCTTAGTTTTGCCTCTGGAACTCCTGTCAATGAGCACAACAGTTACCGTAGAGGATCCACAGATCAGATGGCTGTAATTGGTGATTTAGATGGCTCCTTCTCCTCCCCAGAACCAAAGATGGCCAGATATGATCCTCTTTACAGTAGCACTCAAATGGAAGCACAGGTTTCTGCACATAAACATAGTAATAAAGTGAGTGCTGACATGTCTGTCCTCAACTACCTGTGCATTTTGCAGGCTGGTGTTTGGCTGCCCTCTACTGTTCAAGTTGTGCGACTGCAGGCCTTTATTGTCACCCTGCTTGGAAACCTGCGCAACAGTGGCGGGGAATGGAAACTTGGAGCCACCATATCGGACGGCACTGCATACCTAGATGTGGATCTGTGTGACACTTTGCTAACTAATCTGATTGGCTTCTCGGCGACAGAATCCAGGACACTAAGGAAGGACCCAGCAATGCGCGGAGTGGTGGACGCTGGAATACAGAACTGTCAGAGGGAGCTGGTGGATATGTGCTGTGTGATGAATGTACGGTTGGAGCCATCGGGGAAAAGCGTGCTACTGAGAACTGATCCTTTAACAGACAGAGAGTGCTGTGAACTGCAGAGGAGGGTAACGGAGAGGAGGAGTTAATACAGAAAAGCTGCTACCTTAATGGAATTCTGTGCCTAAAGATGCTGTCTTGGTTCTTGATGAATGGACGCTAGTAGGGGACAGTAACCATTATATAAGCTAAAGAGGAGTTCCCCATTTCTGTATAATTAATTTGTTGACTTGTAAACAGTCATTAAGAGGTGATGATAGGAATCAGACATCTGAAGCTCCTTCACAAAAAGTTATTACATTACAAGACATTGTTTAACGAAAGCTTTCATATAAGGTTTTGGTCAAAAATGTTTTTTTTTTTTTTCAGTCCATTCATAATGGAGAGGTACATGCGTGGCATTATGAGGCAAAATAATCCCCCAAAGAAAGCTTATGTGTTCAGATTTACTGCTACTTCGACATTTTCAACATTGCTTATAAAAACTCAGACACATGTAGGTTCACTGGTGGTTTTGGGTAGTTAAATGGCTATATCTGTTCCATAGCTATCACAGCAGCTCCTTCCCATCACCACTTCTGTAAAGAAATTAGTCAGTAAATTACTCTATAATGTGCCGTTTCACAGCAAAACTCTCTGAATGTCTTTGTTTAGATCTCAATTCCCCTTTGAATTATGCTAACGGCTTCCCAACCAGCTTAAACTTGGAGCCATGTTAGAATGTAGCAATTTACTTATATATATATATATATACTGTTTCTATACACATATACACACACACACACATATATATATATATATATACTGTTTCTATACACATACACATATATACATATATATATATATATATAATATGTGTGTGTGTGTGTGTATATCTGTTTATATGTGTATAGAAACAGTGCAGTCTTAAGGAACATGATTTGTCAGGGTGTATGAACAGCTGTGATTTGTCATATCTTAAATGCTCCACATGGGACAGTAAAACCAAAAGTACATGAGTGTAACACAGCAAGCAGACAACTAAATTGAGTCCAGCTGTAATTACAGATTGCAAAAAGTTTGGTTAAATGTGAAACCGTTGTGAATGCTGTCAGATTCTTATTTTTACATTTTAGTTAATTACATTATTAAAATTAGTTTGAAATGGTTACCCGCGTCTCTACAATCAGTCTGAAATGATTATCTATGTCGCCAAAATTGGTTTCAAATGGTTACCCCATCTCCCAACCTGCACCTCTGAACTAGGCCACATCTACACATAATTAGTAAAATGATCCAAATGTGCTTAACTATATTAATAATAGTGATGTAAGCGTTCTGACCAGGCAGTAGAGAATGAATAAGGTTCAGCCTCACTGTCATATCACCACACGTACGGCACTGTGCAAAAGGCAAAGACCACCGTTCTTTTTATTTACAAGTTATTCATTTTCGGCATCTGAAAACACTTCACTGAAAATTATGCAGATGCCTAACTAAATATATCAATTTTCAGTATTTAGTGCCTCACTTTGCCTTTATTTCACCTTTCATTCTTTTTAAGAGACTTGCTTTCATTTTCTTAAAGAAATCTGCAGGGATGGTTTTCCACACCTCCAATGTTCAGTCTTAGAAGTTGGTTGCATTTTATGCTCCTCATGAGCCAAGTAATAACACATTCAGTGGTGTTGAGGTATGAACTCTGGGGTGGTCGGTCCATTGTTTTGAGAACACCAGCAGCTTCTTTGTTAGATTTGCAATTTTTCCCTTTTTTTTGTCTATTTCCTCTTCTAAGGGCTTCTCGACAGCTACACATCCTTTCACACTCTTGAATTGTCTTCTCACAGTGAAAAGATGGACAGAAACAGCTGTGGATGTTTTCAGATTTGAAGCAGGAGTGGAGCTGTGACGTCGATTATTTTACGTGTTACCGTTCACTGATTGGAATGATACTTGAATAAAGTGATAAAGCTGATTTAGAAGGAGCAAGTGTCCATTTTTGCCTGTGTGTTTCATTTGTCACCAGTAGGCGGCAGCAGCGGCTCGTGGCTCCCTCTGCCGCTCGTTAATGGCTTTTCCACTGGACTCGGAGCACGTCTGAACTGCTCAGTGAAACGGCCAATTCCCAGCCAATGCACTCAGTCCCCTCAGTCTGGTGTCAGTTTCTTTATAGTTTACACAGCCTAATAGCCCAATGCCTCCGGGCTTTATCATTAGATTATGTCCATATAGACTTGAAGCGGTTGTAAGAATGCTCATAAACGGGAGGACTGTGTATGTTTACCACCCATTACAAAACACCTGCTTTCGTAATAGGCACCCCCCTACCCCTCCGCCCCCCGCATACCCTATATTGCTACTCTCGCTTCGTGCGTCAAACCCCACGTCACGCTGGGAATGGAGGTTGCGGTGGCGGACCGGTGCGTCTGCGCGCTCGTGCTCGCGCGTTCGGTAACGGCGCTCCTTACCGGCGGCGCGCTCTTCACCGCATGTCTCATAAGCGTCCATGTAAACATGCGCGTGCCTCATATGAGCGCGGACACGCCTCATAATGTCTCTATAAACCTTATCAGCAGTAAGTTTAAGTCAGCTTATTTTCCAGCTTCTTGCTCAATTTTTCCGTTCCACCTTAAATGGCGCAGCAAATACATTATGGCGCCTAAGGCCAAAGTAACTGCTGCACCATTTAAGGTGGAACGCAGAATAAGAAGCCTGAGGGGCCACAATGTAACAGCTACAACATTTAAGGTGGAACGGGAAAAAGAAGCCTGAGGTGCCAGAATGTAACTGCTGCACCATTTAAGGTGGAACGGGTGAAATAGGTCTGAGGGGCCAGAATGCAACTGCTGCACCATTTAAGGTGGGACGGGGAAAACGAATCTGAGGGGCCAGAATGTAACTGCTGCACCATTTAAGGTGGAACGGGTGAAATGGGTCTGAGGCGCCAGAATGTAACTGCTGCACCATTTAAGGTGGAACGGGTAAAATGAGTCTGAGGGGCCAGAATTTAACTGCTGCACCATTTAAGGTGGAACGGGAATAAGAAGTGTGAGGCACTAGAATTTAACTGCTGCACCATTTAAGGTGGAACGGAAATAAGAAGCCTGAGGCGCCAGAATGTAACTGCTGCACCATTTAAGGTGGAACGGGAATAAGAAGTGTGAGGCACCAGAATTTAACTGCTGCACCATTTAAGGTGGAACGGAAATAAGAAGCCTGAGGCGCCAGAATTTAACTGCTGCACCATTTAAGGTGGAACGGAAAGGAGCTGGTGAATAAGAAGCTGACTTCAGCCTCGTAATATCAGCTCCAATCCTCGAGCGCGCGGCCGGTGCTCGTTTAATTGCTCTTGTCTGGTTGATCACTCTCGCGCTCGCGGTTTCAACGCCTTCAGCTGGAGCGCTGCAGCGTGTGGCGTCACGCGCGCGCCGTCCACGATCGATAACGCGCGCACTCCTCCCCTCCACTGCGCTCGCGCTCCTTTCCAAACACACGCTCGCTCACTCGTCGCTCTCTGTCACTCACTCACACACACGCACGGTTGTCTCTCCTCGCGCGGACTAAGCCAGCCGTTTTTCTAGCTTCTCTTAAAGAAGGCCGCGAGCTTTAAAAACAAGAACAGTGGAAAAGAGGGAGGAAGAGCAAAAGAGCGAGACGGGATCTATTTTTGTTTTGACTCCGTTTTTTTTCCCCGCGCGAAAGGACAGCTGCGACCGACCGTTTGCCTTATTTACCCCGGAGGCGCGCGCGCGGACATGCAGCACGCGACACGGCGGCGGAGCCCGCGCTGGGCGGCCCGCGGGCTCTGCTGCGTGCTCGCCGCGCTCGCCGCGCTTTGGAGGCCGGGTGCAGCGTGCCCGGCGGCGTGCACGTGCGCGGGCTTCAGGCTATCGTGCGCCGACCCGGAGCGCAGCCTCGTTGCGTTCCCCGCGCTCACCGAGCCCGAGATGGAGAACATCACAGACATGTAAGTGCGCGCGGGCTGTCTCTCTCTCTCTCTCTCAGTATATATATATATAGATGGTTAATGGTAGGTGGGTGCAGCGTCAGAAGTGTTCCACGGTAACTCTTATTGATGAACACGCACCAACGGCGTTTCTGCCTGAACAAAGAATTGATCCTTAAATCTTCCACGTGCAGGGCCACAGTACCGGCAATTAAAATCCGTTTTCTCCAGTTATTAGAAACACGACAACATATCTTTCTCCTTTGTTTGTGGCAGCAGCATGTCAGCATTTTTACTAATGTCAAAAGTTTGACTTTTTATTTAAAAACTATGATTTTTGGTTTATTACGTGGAAATGATAGCTTAGTGGATTGATTGACTTATCTCAAAATAATTGGTTCTTAAATTTTGGAGAACGTAAGTAATTATTTTGGAATATTATATCTAGAAAAAAAGACTTTGAGGTAATAAGTAAAGATTTTAAGAAAACGTGTCAAGATTTTGGTAAATAAGTAATTATTTTTTGACATACTACATCAAGGTTTTGGTAAATAAGTCATTTTTTTGACATACTAAGTCAGGATTTTGGTAAATAAGAAATTATTTTTGACATACTAAGTCAAGAATTTGGTAAATAAGTAAATAATTCAAGTAAGTCAAGATTTTGGTGAATAATTATTTTTGACATTCTAAGTCAAAATTTTGAGAACATAAATGATTATTTTCCACATACTGAGTCAAGATATTGCTAAATAAGTAATTATTTTCTAACATACTAAGTCAGGATTTTGGTAAATAAGTAGTTATTTTTGATATACTAAGTCAAGATTCTGAGAAAATAAGTCATTATTTTGAAATAAAAAAGTGAAACATTCTTCAGACAAAGTCAAAATTAGGGGATACTGCTTCCAGAAACAAAAAAGACTTTCTTCTCTTGTACGTTGCAGAAATGAACTTTCACAATGAGCCCCTTTCCTATCAAACTGCTTTAAAACACACTCAGATTGTCCCCACTACAGGCTGGCTTGTGCAGCAGATATGCACATATGTACACACCTTTACACTGATGTCTGTGTAATTGCCCAGATGAAAAATGTCTTGCATGTATGTTTGCACTTTTTCCTCATGCTGCAAATGTAGAACGGCCATAGTTTTGATAATAATATGGCTTGGTTTAGTCTCTGAGATGGAGGTGCTGGTGCAGATACTGAAGGTGATGTGCGTGGAAGCCCTTTAGGAGACACTGTTTAGGATGTTGTGCGCGGAGCGCACGTGTAAACACCACCGAGATTGTGCACATGCTGCCCGAGGCCTGTACACCTGGTCACTGTGACTTCACTACCGTTAACTGCATGCATTTGCTATATGAGCTGCGTTTAATTCAGTTAGGGTATCTGCTGACTGAATCACTGCTGGAATTCGAAAGAAGAAAGCTTTCACATGAACTGTTGTACTGTCACTTGTAGAGAACTTGGAGTGGAAGCAAAGTTGCCCCTAGGCCAGCAAATACTGAGGAGAAATACAGTTATACTAGTTAGCTTTTTTAAAAAAATATTTTAAATAATTTTGGCACACTCTATGAGGCAAAACACCCCCCAAAACAAATCAGTTTTCTACTAAAAACAGTTTCTTAGAGACCAGCGCATTATGAGGGGAAACTGTACCTGTTTTTGGTCATTCTGTTATTTCACATAAGTATATATTTAAAGGAAGGGGGTCCCCTCAGTGCCCCCCAAGGAAATGGTCATATAACCCCAGCACAGTAATTTTAGCTTTTTACAATGACCAGTAAAGCTATTTTAGTCTGTCTTGTTGAGTATAATCAAGCTTTATTACAGCACATTCATCACAGTGACCCTACATTTGAATGTTCACCTCTTTAGCTGAACATCATTTGTTATTTTACCCTTATTAATCATGTAAGTTGCAAAGAAAGTAAATGGCCCACTCGTAATACTGCTGAGGCTTGCTGCAGAGGCTTGAGGCCTCCAGTGTAACTACCTAGCTCACAATTAAAGGTGCAGTGTGTAAGATTTAGGGAGGTCTATTAGCAGAAATGGAATGTAGTATACAAAGCCACGTTTTCACTACTGTATAATCACCGGTAACTATGAATCATTGTGTTTTTGTTAGCTTAGAATGAGCCCTTGATATCTACATATGGAGCAGGTCCTCTTCCGACAGAAGCCACCATGTTGCGCCACCATGTTTTTACAGTAGACAAGAATGAACAGACCAAACAGTGGCTCTAGAGAGTGCTTGTCGCGTTTTTATGGTTAAGTGCCAGTTTAAATTTGGCGGCGCTATAGCACCAGTTGGAAGACAGAATCAGTGGTTGCTGCCGATGCTGGCTAACCATTTTGTGTTGTGAAAAGTTTGAGAACCCAAATTTTGATGAATGATGGATCATACTTATTATTTAGCACAAGAAAAAGCAAGACAGGGTGAATCCCGGTTGTCAAAGATGCAAAAATCGGGTCAGACAGTGGCAGAAAACATGACAGCCACTGTAGGTTCTACTACATGCTTGGAACGGGAAGGGTGAGGGAGGGGTAATCTGCAGCTTAACTGCTAGTTGCCACTAAATCTTACACACTGCACCTTTAAATAGGCTTGTAAAATTGTTCTTTGTACCTTTGTAACAATTCCTAATATTCATAAATCATTAGAATTTTTTTAATCTCACATATATTTCATAATACAGTGCTTTACACCTTTTAGCTACTGTGGGTTAAATCAGTAGATAAGCTAGTGCTAGAGCTAACAGTGTGATGTTAGGTGAGGGATCGTCATTGTGTTCTACAAGAGGTAAATTAGCTTCTGCTCAATGAATGGTGTGGAAGCATGTTGGCTAGTTGAGCTAACATTTGAAATATATTTCTAAGTTCAGCTGTCCTGGTTAGCCTGGCCACAATACTTCTCAGGCACGTCTGTGGAATGTTAATGTAGCAACATTAGAACCAAATAATATTCAAGAATAAGACATGGAATAAGACACTACACCAGCGCTGAGCTGCTTATTACGGACACTTACCTTGAACCTAAACGCATTGGCCATTTTATGATATACTTGCTAATCTAATATATCAAGTAGGTTTCTAGGCTAAACACAGAGACGTAACTATAGCAATGTGCACCACACTTTCGTGTCATGATTTGTATTTTTTTAGCCACAACTTTTAACATTTACAGTCCTACATGTAAGTAGTTGAACATTTGCGCCGTCAACTGTTTTCGTTACACTGGAAATCCGAAAGAGCCGTTACTTAGCATGATGCTAGCCGATGCAGGCATCTGTTAGCTAACAGAATTAACAGTTAGCTCAGTTAGCTGTTCTTCTCCAAATGTGTTGATTGATTGATTCTTTTATTACCACACAACAAGCGGGTGGTAATTGTATCTGGTGCATTAAGATGAATTCAACTCTGTTAGCATGATACTAACCAGTGCGAGCATCTGTTAGCTGAAGTAACAGTATTTGCCGTTAGCATTGTTCTCCAAATATGTTGATTGATTGATTGATTGATTGATTTTTTTATTGCCACACACCAAGCTGGTGGTAATTGTATCTGGTGCATCAAGATGTAATTCAACCCTGTTAGCATGATGCTAGCCAGTGTGTGTGTCTGTTAACTAAAGTAACAGAATTAGCAGTTAGCATTCTCCTTCCACTGTGTTGATTGATCGATCGATTGATTGATTGATTCTTTTATTGCCACACAACAAACTGGTGGTAACTGTATCTGGTGCATCAAGATGAATTCAACTCTGTTAGCATGATGCTAGCAAGTGTGGGCATCTTTTAGCTGAAGTAACGGAATTAGCAGTTAGCATTCTTCTCCAAATGTGTTGATTGATTGATTGATTGATTGATTCTTTTATTGCTGCATGATACGTCAGTAGTAATTGTATCCAGTGAATCAAGATGTAATTCAACTCAGCACAATACACATAAACACACGATATAATATATACACAGTTATCAATATACAGGACAATATGCAACATTTGGAATAGGAGAATCGTGGAAAATGACACAGTAGTTTCATCTGTGCGTTCTTACAAAGGCTGGGCAGACTATAATGATACACCCTGCTTACAAGAGTTTAGTAACCTTATCACGATAGGAAAACGCTTTTTTTTAAGCAAGTTTAGTTTTTAGAGATCTATAGCATCTCCCAGAAGGAGGTGGTTGTACAAGATTATACGCTGAGTTAGAGGAATCTGTAATGTTTATTTTTTGCTTGTTTAAGGTTGCGTTGAGGATAAATAGAGCCAAATCAAGGAAGCAATATTCCAGTAATCTTTGAAGCTTTACTGACAATAGCTTGCAATTTATTTTGAGTTTGCATATCTACATTTCTGTACCAAACTGTAATAGATGATGTAAGAACACTCTCGATAATGAACAAATAAAACTTAACCAATAAAGTCTTCTTCTCGTATTTTGTTGAGATTTATTGATGATATGATCAGAATTAATGCTCCACTTTAAAGAATCTCTAATGTGAGTTCCCCCAAATTGGAAAGATTTTACAACAGATATTGACTGTCCCAATGGCATTGCATTAGCAATAGCATTATGTAATAGATGGCGATCTAGCTAGTAGGTATAATTGGTCTTGACGGGGGAGGGGGTCTTTTGGCGGCTTATTTGTACCTGCCAGGGCATTTCTAATGAGTTTCACTAATAAGCTTCTTTCATAATGTTAAAAATTAAGATTGATTGGCTTCAGAATTGTTCTTAAGGAATTTAATGACCTCAGATATGTCAGCAAATATTTTTGGCCATCTAAAGTTGCACTGAAAGAGTGCTAAGCTTTGGTGCAGTCTGGTTCAGTGAATAAATAAGCATCGGGTGTGTTTATCCTGCTTTATGAATGTTTACGAAGGTCTGGTTCACCTCACTCGTAAAAACAGCACAAAGAGAAAAGGAGTGAGGTTTTACGAAGGCAAGGGAAGTTGTGATTAAAGTGAACATCAAGGGCCTCTCTGGAATTTCAGCTTAGTTCATAGATCCATCATAGAGGCTCTTCTTTTTTTGTTAGGAATGTTGTGAAAATCTTGCTCCTTTGTGGAACATCTAGTTTCTGCCATAAATTACAGCTGTAATAACATATTCTCATTAAATGTACAGTTTGCTCAAAGATTGTATGTAGTTGTATGCAAAAGTTTGAGCACCCCTTGTAATTTTGTTTTGTTGATTCTCTAAGTAAAAATAAGTTTGCACATTCTTGATCTGCGTATTTCAGTGCTTCTTTACTGTTTATTTGCAGAATTTAATATATAAAATGTGGCCTGTGCAAAGGGAATGGCACATAGAAAATCATAGCAAAGGAATGTTGGCTTTTGTTTTTCCAGAGATAAAAAAAAACTTTTTTTATCTTCTTGTTGACAGATATATTGCTAATCAGAGCACTTTCTCATCTATCAACGAAAAAGACCTGACCTTCTACCGCAACCTCAGAAATCTGTGAGTGCTTCCAAACAGACCTACAGTTGTAACTCTACGTCTATTTACAAAATGAGATGGGAGTTGATGTCTGTATTCTTTTCCTCCAACAGGACAGTGACCAACACAAGGCTTACGTATGTGTCGCGACAGGCCTTTCAAAACAATCTCAAGTTGCAGTATCTGTGAGTGCTTCGTTATGACTTTGTCAATATTTTAGTCTTCTACTTTTCATTGTTATGGTATGTAAACTATTCATCAGGCACTGTGACCAATGCGATTACTGCACAACAACATGTACTTGAACAATTGGATCATTCAAAGGAATAGTTTGGTGAAAAAATTACATTTACATAATTTTCCGTTTACCGGAATTGCACTTGATCAGCCAAGACAAGGTTGTGTCCAAGTTTAGCTTTTTTGCTTTAAACTGCCCAAAACATCTCTCAACCTGCTAAAACCACATCCAGGTCTTAGTTCAGTTCACACAGAAAAGTCAATGTGGTTTAGAACACATTATGAGTCAATGCAAACTAAAAAAATGGAAAAAAGCTTCAACCATATTTGTTTTTGATCCTGAATATATACATGAAAAAATGCATCAGTTGCATGCTGGATGCTCCAGTGACTCCCCAGATCCTGTGAGTCCTAATATGACAAGACCTTGTTGCAGGTGCCAGGTGATGCAGACCGATTCTGATTCTTATTTTTGTAGGTTTGTCGTTAATTAATATGCAGCGTCTATTTCTCTTACAGTAAGCAACCTTAGGTCTTGCTGTGCTAGCACTATGTAGCCGCTCAGAGTATGAAGGTGGAATAGTAACGGAAAACAGGAGGTTATGCAGTTGATTGTGTAGTTCCAGTTTTAGCTTAAATGTGTATATATGTTCTATACATGCCATACGTAGCTTATCGACATAATTTGAAGCACGTATTGAAAATTATGGTATGTATTTGTAAAAACAGTTAGGGTGACAATTGACTTCCAGTGTTTGTTAGTACAGTTAGCCAGCAGCTTTAGATCTAAACTTAAGAAGCAAAACTTGGAAAACAAACATGTCTCGGTTGTTTGACTGGATATGGGGTAAACGGAAAGGCATGTCATTTTTTTGCCATGTTGTAGTCTTAAAACAGTCTCTTAGGCTGTGTTCACGTTACAAGCTTCATTGCTTAAATCCAATTTTTTGCTTAGATCTGATCTCTCTAACATGATGGTTCACACTCATTTAGGTAAGTGACTCAAATCTGTTATTAATGTGAACGCACCAGCGTCCTGAAATGACCCACGTGCGCACATTCATGTGTGTCATGAACAGCAAACAAACTAACGAGCAGAACGAGCTCTCGGCTGTTCATTATTAGAGCGAGATGAAGGTGGAAAAGGTGAGATGGGTTGCTTTTCCACTGTTTACAGGCTTTAACTTCTGTTTGGCGCATGGTAACACTGAATGATGGAGCACGCCCAGTGGGCAAAAAAGCACATGAATTCCGATCTGAGCGTTCACATTAAGGTCACATGGCCACAAATCGGATACATATCCAATTTAAGACCACATATGAATGTGGCTCAGGTCGTATTTGAAAAGATCAGATGTGTGTGTCCACGCAGCCCTGAAAACATCAGATCTGAGTCACATTATGGGCAAAAAATCGGATTTGTGCCACATCAACCTGGTAATGTGAACGTAGCCATACTACTAAAAAAAATGGTGCATCAGTGGTTCTATATAGAACCATGAGCACTCAAAGAACCATTTGCATGATTAAAGGGTTCTTTGCATCATGAAAGCGTTCTTCAGATTGATGGAAAATTTGCATGAATGTGCTAAAAGGGTTCTATATACCACCCAAAAGGGGTCTTCTGTTGTTGGTGCTATATAGAATCATTTTCAAAAAGGTTCAAGAACCATCTACAGCACATTTTACCTCAGTCTGAAGAACCCTTTCACGATGCAGTAAACCTTTTAATCATGCAGAGGGTTCTTTAAGCGCTCATGGTTCTGTGTAGAACCATTTTCTTTACTAAAGAGCCATTGAAGCACATAGAAACATCTTTTTGAAAGTGTAGTGAGACAGTTTGAAAATTCTAATACCGTACTATCAGACATTGATATGGTTTTACCACCGGTGTTATACCACTGGTATATATTTTTCTAACACCAACAAAACTACTACTAAAATGAATATACAAAGCTAAAAAATATTGTTTGAAGTATGTAGACATGCTTTGTCCTGGTGCGTGCTTTACAAGAGGGACAGTATTTACAGACTTTTTTAAAAAAGACAGTAATCATACACTGTTACTGGAATTAATCAAATGTCTAATGATATGATTTTCATTGGATTTTATACAGCAGCATGTCTTTAAACCACTGACTGTGCCATGCTGGCCATTTGTTGCAGAATAAGAGGTGTGAAAGATTTGGACTTGCAGAACTGTGTTAGTAATGATGACTAACTGTTATGTGCAGAAATCTGAAAGACAACAATCTGTCCTCTCTGTCCTGGAAGACGTTTCGCCATCTGAACATTTCCTACCTGTAAGTACCAGCTCTCATTTTAAAGCCATGTTTCAAGTAAAGTTAAGGTGCCATTGCTCAAATTTGCTGATGCTGGTCACACATTAGCAAGCATTAGCAATACGCTTGGGAGCGTTTTTGTTGTGAAAGGACCTTGTGTTTAAGATAAACACATTAAACATTATTATCAGGGCTGTCAAACAATTAAAATAATTCATCACAATTATTTGCTTTCGTTTGTGTAGTCAATCATGACTATTTGCACTAATTTGAGCCTAAAAGGAGATTTTTTTTTCGTATTTAAAAAGCAGCTAATGTTGTTCTAGCTGTAGGAGTGGACAAAATGAGCTTCATCAGAATGTATTTATTTCAACCTGAACAAGAAAAGCAAACTGAAATCTGCCTTCGCCTTATTTTCATCAGCATCATTCAGTGGGAACAACAGTGGATTGTAGCCCTCTTGCTCTCATACTGCTACATTACATCCTGTTTTGAGGGGAACCTGATTTATCTACAGTTCTTTCGTGAGCATGATCTGCTGAAGGTGCCCTCTAGTGCTAATGTTACTGATATTGCAAGTGATTACGGATGCACCGATATGGGAACTGTGGGACAGTGCCGATATCCAATAGTTTGCATGTAAATATCTGCAAATGGCAATACATGAACGCTTATCGAACGTAGAAATTGGGACATAATAAGAATAATACTAATACTGCTGCTCCTACTAATAATAAAAATAATAAAATAATAAGTGTCATTGAGTGCTGATCATCACTGATTGCTGTTGCAGACTCTATTTAATTGCTTTACGCTTTGTATTCTCTGCAACTGAACTTTTACTAGATGAGGTCAGCAGGTTGCTAATAGGCTAGCAGGCTGGTTCAGTAATGTTGAGAAACAGGCTTCAGATTCAAACCTTTCCAAATTAAGTCACAATAAAACTGCATGTAGGATGAAGAATGTTGCATGCCTGTTGCAAGCTTACCATGCCCATGTTTAAACTAGAATTGGCATCGAATGTGATTATACATCAGCGCTAGATTGGCACTAACAGCACTGCAAATTCCTATAGGGATGCTAGCAGAAATTAGCATTAGTTGCTAAACGGACAATGCAAAGCTGCTTATGAAACAAATTAAAACGCAACGTTGCTTTATAATTTCGACAACATACAAGAACACAAATCAACTGCAGATTCACACACACACATACACACACAGTTCCTCTGCTGGCAAGAAAAGGTTCCTCAAAGGTTTTCACTTGCTGCGGTGGAGCTAGCTCATTGAAAAAAATTGTTGCATGTTTTTGGTGTTTATTTATATGTGTGCCTGACTTTTTGTGAGCTTAAGTAAATTCATAAATAAAAGCAACAAAGTTAGCACACAACTGAATTCAAACCAGTGAGAAGTTTTACAGTTAACTGTAAAGGCTAGTATGATAATGAAAACATGCTAACTTGCTAACTCAGCCCGACGGTACTGGTGAAGTGAACTCAGGACGAGGATGTGAGTCTGGGCTTCACATCGGCTGAGAGAATGTTCTACAATCCAAAGGAGATTTTTTAGCTGCGGCTACAGAGTTTGCGTTACAGAGAAATCTAATATGTATTTCTGTAGGGTTACAAATGCAGAAACATTAAAAATGCAGAGATTTCCAACTAGATCAGCTTTATGTATTAAATGTCAAACAAACAAGGGCACGCTCTCACATTACATGTGGACTTACATATACATAATACATATATTAATAAGTTCTGGGGTCGGATCTGCTCCGAAATGAAGCGTTTTTCACATGTATCTGTGCCTTTTGACCCCTTAGACTTAGTTCTAGGGGCGTCATTTAATGGACCCTCTACTGATCAAGATTTACTGATTAGGGCTCTCCTCGCTGTTGCAAGAAAATGCATCTTGGTCAGTTGAACTTCGTCCACACAACCTAGTATAAGTCAGTGGTATAAAACAATATATAATATCTTCCCCCCTTGAAAGATTAGCTTATTTAGATAATAAAAAGATTAAGAAGTTTTATCAAGTGTGGTTTATCAATGTGCTGCAGTGTTGAAATGAGTAGGTTATGGTGAACGGGGCTGTGTTTTTGTACCCTTGTGAAACCTTTGGTATTAATGTTGCTAATATTGATTGCAGGGCTATTGATATTTATTTATTGTATTTAAATTGTTGCTTTTTTTTAATTCTCAGTATGTCATTGTACTGCAATTATACATAATATTATCACACTCTGTATCTTTTCTGTTTGCTATAATAAACAAGACTGGAGGGCAAAAAATGCAGAGATTTAGCTTTGCATCCCAAATATTCTGCTCTTCTGGAGTACAATAACTGCGTCATCAAGTATCAGTTTGAAACATCAACCGAATCTAACCATCGGTCCGATGCTGATAATTTTTTTAAGTAATTGTCTGGCGATACTGATATGATTCTGATATCATCATGCATCACTGTTAATGATACTTCGGAGTCAGTGATAAATATGGCTGGGACAATGGTTTGAATGGTCAAACTAGGACATTGTGTAAGTGTTGTGCAAAAAGTTAACATTGTTAATAATATAGCGCATTAACGCATTATAAACACATGAACTTTGACGCCACTAAATATTGTTATTATTATTATGGAGCAGACAGGCCAATAAGGTCACCATGTCTCAGCTAGAGGGATATAAAACCCTCCAGCTTTGGGCAGTGGAGCAGTGGAACTGCATTCTCTGGAGTGAGGGAGTTCCATCCAATACCTATGGCATGAACTGGAGTGGTGTTTGTTAACAACTCCCTATTAATACCATTAATTTCATAAGATATACTGGATGAGCTGGATATTGGGACGTATGTGCTGCTCTTACACTGATCTTGTGTGCTGTGCTAACGTGTTTGTGCATGTTTCAGGATGCTGTCGGGGAACCCACTGCAGTGCTCCTGTGAGAACATGTGGATGAAGCAGTGGAGAGGGGAGGAGGCCGAGGCTGAGCTGCTGTGTGTGGAGGAAGGAGGGAAGAGGAGGCCTCTGTCCAACCTCAAGCTGCCCCACTGCGGTATGACTCTGCTTAGTTAAAGGGACTTTCCAGGGTTCAAATGAGGTGCAGAGTTACCGAGGGACGTCAGAGTCCCAGTGGACATAGACAGGGACCAGTTTTTGTACTTGTTTCTATTCTGAAACAGGCCTGTGGCTCTAGAGTCTCATCACAGTTTGTGTCCTTGTGTTTCTAGGTTTTATTTTTCACAGTTGCTATGTGTTATAGCTTCTACAAGCTCATTCAAATTGCTATATTTAGTGGAAGCAGCCAGGTTTTTTGTGGGGGAGTCATAGTTGTTTTTTTTCCCTTTGGAGGGGGGTAGGGTAGTTTTTTTGGAAAAATGTGTCCTCAAGTGCCTGTTTGTGGCACATTTTCACATTGAAATATACCTTAAAATCTTTCCATCATAGATTTTTGTAATAAACCAACAAATCTTTGGTGTAATGCACTTCCTTCATTGTGCATAGTAAAATATGTCAAGAACTCAAAGCTGAAAGTTTTTTTTCCTGTTTCTTAGCATTACTTCTTTGCATCAGGGGTCCCCGACTTTTTTTTTAAAGCTGAAAGAACAAAAACACTTAATTCTGCATGGGAATCCACACATTCAAATTGCAATTTAAATTTTAGTCCTTAAACCTATTTATTTATTTATTTATAGTGTTTTTTGGAGGAAAACTATGGAAGCAAAAAAAGGAACTATCAAAAGAGAAGAAAATATAGTTCTTTGAATGTTTGTTTACATGAACTTAATAATCCACTAACTGCAGAAAATCAGATTTTGTCAGTAATCTAATCAATGCGTTTACATGCACTTGAGTAATCAGATAATGGGGAAGCTCCAGGTTTACATGAGTCAGGCAGTAATCAAATTTCTGCTTTGCAACCGGCCAATAAACTCACGGAAGAAGACGTGACGTAAACATGATGTAAAACTCAAACTTCATTCCGTGCCTTTTTTTAAACATTGAGCCACTTTACCGGAAAATATGAACATACATCATCTAGAAGATGAAGAATATTTAAATCTTATATTTCATCAAGCATGTGTTTGATTTCAGCGTCGCTCCAAAATTGTTTTGCTGCATCTTGCGGCGAAGTTCTGGTACTGTTTTCGCACATGCGCAGACTGAGAAATCCGAAAGAAATCAGAGTAAGAGTTTACATGCAGTGAGAAATCTGATTACTGAGCTAAAATCCAGCTCTCTTTATCAGATTTCTTATTCGGATTTCTAGACCTTACTCAGATCTAAAAAATTGGAGTATACTGTTTATATGACCATTTGAATAACCAGATAACTGCAGAAATCCGATTATAGAAATTTTTAGAAATTAAGGGCTAAAGACACTTTCTAAAAATTAAACAGCATCAAATGAAAAAAACATCTTCTAAAAATCAATGGCACTTTCACTGAAACTACAGTTAACCAGCGACATAATACACAGGAATCCAAACAAGCTTTCCAACAGAGCAGAGAGACTATAAAAAGCCAGCAAAATGTCAAATGCTTGTCAAAACACTCATTGTTTTAGCTGAAATACTAAACTACCTCTTTATTGATGTGATCTAGACTGTCAAAAATATTCAGTGTCCAGCTACTTTTAGTTTACATGTAGATGCCTAACTAGCTTGTAATGAATGGCAGACATTAGCAGGCTAGTTTGCTCAGTGTCAGTCATTACCTTCTGTTTGAGTTGCATTGGCTAACAAGCTAATTTATGAGCTCACCGACTGAAATATTCAACAGTAAACAAATCAAATCAAAAAATATCAAGTACATTAAGTAGGCTGGATATCCAGACAAATGGGCTGTAGGCTTGAGGTGCATTCAGCAGAAGTTAAGTACCCACTGACGTTAAATACCTTGCAGCTGTGTTTAAAGTGTCCAGAAACAAATCCACTTCCACACAGCGACTGAACCAATGAGAAATGTTTTTACTGTAGTTCATGAATTAATATTTAGTTAATTAATAATTACACTTGTTCATCACACTGTAACTAAACTCAGTCCTCACAGCAATGTTCTGCCATCTGGTGTATGTAAAGCCTTCCCAAAAGAATAGAGGCTGTTAATGTTGCAAACGAAGGAGAAACTCCCTATTAATGCCCTTGATTTCAGGAGAAACAGCAGATGAGCTGGTGTCTACAAACACTCTTGTAGTGTATATGATACCAATTCACACAATTCACATTCTCAGTAGGCATATTTGCATGATCTTTCCTGTTTCTGAAAAGACAATGAAAATGTGTCTTCGTTGAGGGGTTGGGAAAACAGTTACTGAAGAACGCGTGACTGGAAAGTCCCCTACAGTCCTGAAAGCAGTATCTGGAATCACCTTGTGTGTCATCACTATCACATCCATTCTCACTCAGTGGACTAGGTCTCATGTGTATCTACTGTTATTGGGTCATATTGCTGATCCAGGATCAGCCCTGTAGCCCAAGTTGTTTAGAATATCAATGATACAAACAGATCCTAAGGCAGAACTCAGGAGAACTGGTCTTAATTCACACTTTTCTTTTCTGTCTGCAGTTGTTCCCAAGGTCACCCTAAACCCTCAAAAAGTGACTGTTCTTGAGGGCTCGAATGTGACACTGACCTGTAACACTTCAGGAATGCCAACACCTAACCTCACTTGGAACGCCTGCCAGCTGGCATCCAGCTACGAGGTAACCTTAAATTGTAAATTTCAATATGTTATATATATATATATATATATCCACACCACTACACACATATATATATATATATATATATATATATAATATATTTTCAGACACCCATCCAAATCATTCAATTCAGGTGTCCCAATCACTTCCATGGCCACAGGCATGCAGACTGCTTCTACAAACCTATGTGGTACAATATGTGATATACAAACATCTCTCAGGAGCTCACTCAGTTCCAGCTTGGTACCGTGATAGGATGCCACCTGTGCAGCAAGTCCAGTCATGAAATTTCCTCACTGCTAAATACAACTGTCAGTGGTATTATAACAAAGTGGAAGCAATTGGGAACGACAGCAACTCAACCACACAGTGATAGGCCACGTAAAATGACAGAGTGGGGTCAGCGGATGCTGAGGCGCATAGTGCGCAGAGGTCGCCAACTTTCTGCAGAGTCAATCGCTACAGACCTCCAAACTTCATGTGGCCTTCAGATTAGCTCTAGAACAGTGTAGAGAGCTTCAGGGAATGGGTTTCCATTCCATAGCAGCTGCATCCAAGCCTTACATCACCAAGCGCAATGCAAAGCGTTGAATGCAGTGGTGTAAAGTGCCACCACTGGACTCTAGAGCAGTGGAGACGTGTTCTCTGGAGTGACAACTCACGCTGCTCTGTCTGGCAATCCGATGGACGAGTCTGGGTTTGGCGGTTGCCAGGAGAACAGTACTTGTCTGACTGCATTGTGCCAAGTGTAAAGTTTGGTGGAGGGGGGATTATGGTGTGGGGTTGTTTTTCAGGAGTTGGGCTCGGCCCCTTAATTCCAGTGAAAAGAACTCTTAATGTTTCAGCAGACCAAGAGATTTTGGACAATTTCATGCTCCCAACTTTGTGGGAACAGTTTGGGAGAGTTTGGCCCCTTCCTGTTCCAACATGACTGCGCACCAGTGCACAAAGCAAAGTCCATAAAGACATGGATGAGCAAGTTTGGTGTGAAAGAACTTGACTGGCCTGCATAGAGTCCTCACCTCAACCCGATAGAAAACCTTGGGGATGAATTAGAGCGAAGACTGCGAGCCAGGCCTTCTCGTCCAACATCAGTGTCTGACCTCACAAATGCGCTTCTGGAAGAATGGTCAAAAATTCCCATAAACGCACTCCTAAACCTTGTGAAAAGCCTTCCCAGAAGAGTCGAAGCTGTTACATCTTCTTACAAGTAATCCCACATTCAGTACAGCACATTCAGTGATGTTGAGTTTTGGTCAGTCCATTGTTTTGAGAACACCAGCAGCTTGATTTGTATGTTTTCTTCTTTTTTTGTCCATTTTCTTTTCTCAGTAAGGGCTTCTTGACAACTACACATCCTTTCAGACTCATAGTCATTCTTCTCACTGTGGAAGGATGCACAGAAACACAGTGATGTTTTCAGATCTGAAGCAGCTTGATTTTCTCCTCTCTCTCAGAGATGAAAGCTCTAAGCACTGTTTAGCTAATGGGAACAGTTTAGGTGGTCTACCAGCTCTTGCATAGTTGTTCAGAGTCACATTTTCTATTTATCTTTTAATATTTTTTTATCCTGTTCAGGAAGCTATTGTTTTTTAATGTCTGTTTTCACTTGAAATTACATAAAGAAGGAGTGGTCTCTGAATTTTGCACTGTATATATGGATCTTGGATAACCTGACATTTCTTTCTTTCTTTCTTTCTTTCTCTCCCTCGCTATCTCTGTCTCTCTCTCTCACTCCCTCAGATTGTGTCTACAGGACAATCCTCCGAGCTCAGACTCTTCCATCTCTCCTCACTGGACAACGAATGTAAAATCAGCTGCAGCTCCGACAACACAGCAGGAGGGAGTGAAGCTTCTGTTCAACTCGACGTTCTCTGTAAGCTCAGAACGGTTCAGCCTACAATCATATATATATATATATACTATATGTGTAAATGTATATATATATATATATATATATATAGCCTAATAAAATCTGTAAGTAAGCTAGTTTGAAAGACAACATTCTTTACTTCTGTTCCTCCTCCTCTTTGTGCTTGGGTCGCTAGTCCCCCCAATTATCAGCAAGCTCATGGATGGCATTCCGGATCACCACTGGTGCATCCCATTCAGCGTATCTGGCAACCCGCAGCCGGAGCTGCGCTGGCTGTTTCGTGGTGAGCCCATAAAGGAGGGGGCCTTTATCACCACCCGCATCCACGACTACTCCGAGCATGAGTACCATGGCTGCCTGCAGCTGGACAGCCCTACACACATCAACAACGGCGAGTACACACTGCTCGCCAGGAACGTTTACGGAGAGGACAGAAAGTCCATATTTGCCCACTTCATGCACGACCCCTGGAACGGTGAGTTATGATTTGTATTTTGTATTTGTATTTTGATAGCAAGTCTAGCCTGAAAGATCTGACCCCATTTTCTAAAGGTTTTACCGTACAGCCATCAGTAAAGTGTCTAAATTGGTACAGTTGTTGTGTTACAACAGATTTGTGGGGATTTTGTTATTTTGTCATTTTTTTATATTGTTGCTGGGCAATATGGTGGAAATATAAGGCAACACTAAACATGAACTGCATGTACATGAAATAGTTATGACAATTCTTATCATAATCCTTTTTGAAACATTGATTAAATACATTCATTATTGAGTGATGAACACATAATGTAATGCATTATAAACTCACTCAGTAAAGCTTAGTGTTAGGGTTGCACTGATACCTATGACCAGTACACTCTTTAAGTAATCACTCATCTCCCATGGTGTCGTCAGAGTTAATGTCAATCGAGGTTGTAATTAAGGGAGCAAACGTTAGAGATGCATATGGAAGAAACCATCTGTCTCATGGTAGCCTTTAGCCTTGGTTTAGATTTTAGCATAGCTGCCAGCTGACCGAGCTAGTGTATTCACTAGCCCCATCTGCATTGCCCCTCTGTTGGTCAGCTGTATCACACAGTAGTGTGGTCTCGTGACCTGTTGCTTTAATTAAAGCGAGAAATTCACTGAAAACCGCTGCTTCAAACAGCATGAACGACTTTCGTGTTTACTGAACTCCAGTAGAGCCTGATGCTCAGAGAAATAACAAGATTGAAGAGATCGGAATATATGAATTCAGCAAGCTTCTTAGTGTGTTTTATTTTAGCTTTTACCGAAATAAAAAAAGTGGAATTAAAATGAAATATAAATTAAATATAATATAAATTAAATATAAATGTATAAATTAAGGTGGAATATTTAAGCAGAATTATGTATAAATATCAGGACTTTTAAGCTAGTTTGGTTAGACAGAGTTAGTATTGGTATCGCTACTCAGTATTGGCAGGGAATTATTGTATGCTTCATGATATGATCATGAATACATTAAAATACACATTCCTTATTTTCAGAGACCAAATACAATTCTAACCATATTATATTCAAAAGATATCCATATTGCGTTCATTATTAATACAATGATCGACATTCTTATACATTACACAAAAAGCTCAAAATGTAATTTCCAGCTGGATAGAGATCCATTAGCCTCCTTCCTTCACTACGACTTCACTAAAACACTGTTAGCTCTATGCACTGTTACTGCAGAACAAGGATAAACGAAAGAGCTTTATCATGGAACCAGAGCAATAATGTAATATTACTGTAATGTTACTGTACAGTTCATTAACACAAGAATATGATTAGGTATTGTAATTTGCATACGTGTTGTATAAATCAATAAATAAATGCTTTGTAGCCATAAACACTTTAAACAATAATGTAATGTGGATATCTCTGGAGTAGACTTGTGATGTGTTTAGTACTGTAGCTTGTTCGTTACCTGAACAGATTTTAATTTACTCATGATCACATCATGAAATACATGCTAAATGTTACTGAGTATATTTTCAATTCATTAATCAAATCCATTACTCATTAATGAATGTATTTAATGAATTATTCTGTATTTGTACTGTTATGTAATGAACATGCCATGAATTCTTCATGTGCATGTTTGTGTAAAATGTTACAAAAATAAAATGTTATGAAACTTCAAGACATTTTCTCAATACATAATATGCATCATAATATTTTTTTTCTGAAGTTTGATGAGTTGAAGCAGACAAAGATGATCCAGTAGTGCCACTTTTAAAAAATTATGAATGCAGTTATTTTTATTCACTGTTTACAAACTGCACTGCACTAAATCAGGTCTATGCTGTCTGTGTAATAAAACCAGGTTTAATTAAACAAATGTTTCATGTTCTTTAAGTACTGACAATGTCAATACGCTTATAAAAAAGGGCGAAATTTTATGCATGATAATGAAAAATACTTACATATTGCTTAACCCTAGTACTTCACTGTGGTCAGGGAAGATACGGTATGAAAATCATAATATCAGGTGACTGAAATTAACCATTTTTTTGGCATAAACCTGATATTGGTAACATAAACTATACAAAAGTTTGAACATCCCTGGTTGAATTACATGGTTTGTTGGTTTTCTAAGTGAAAATAAGTTAGTGCTTCACCTACAGGGAACTTAAATATATCATTGTTCTGCAAATTTTTGTGCACAATTTCAGTTTATTTGCTGAGTTTAATGTATTAGTAAAAAAACTAAAGCAAAATATTAAAAATCTTAAAAAACTTTTGCACAGGCCACATTTTATTTTATTTTATGTTATTATTGTTTATAGCTTATCATGTGTATTATGTGTATAGCTTGTTTTCAGTTAGTATTTCACTGATTATATTGATATTATATTGTGACTTTTTATTAAAACTCACATTTACTTCCACTGTAACTTAAAAAGTTGGTGATTGTCAACGCTAACTGAAGTTATGTAAATTTGAATGAATGCCATCATCATGAGTTATTTCATTAAAGGGAGATTCTGATTTTGCTAAATTTCTACTGAAATTAGTCATTTAGATGTAGGTGATGTCATTCAGAGTGATTTGATGTGAAATGGTGCACTGTAGAGAATGTTACTGATTCAAATTTCTTTACAGTGGTGGTGATGAGAACCAGAGGTTGCAGCGTAAATAGAAGTCTAGAATGCAAATGCAGACATTTTATTTACTATCCAAAACCACTAGTGAACCCACGTGTCTTCTTTTACATGTAATGTAATGATTTTGTTATATGCGTCTTGCCTTATAACACTGTGCATGTAGCTCTCTGTCATGAATATATTAAAATATAATTCAAATATATGTTTTAGGCCAAAACCTTATGTCAAAGCTATTATAAACAATGTCTCAGGCATCAACTATTTCATGTAATTGCTTTATGTGATGTAGCTTTTAGATTTATTAAATGCTTCAGTTGTGTGGCTCTTATCACCAACACTGTGAAAAATTGTGACTTGGATAGCTTCTCTAGAGTGGAACATACATCAGACCACTCTGTATGACTCTGTTTACATTTTAACAATTATTTTTTTTCCCAAAGTTTTTAAAAATCAATGTAATTCCCCTTTAAAGATAATTTCCTGATTACGATTCATCAAAAATATCTGTTTTAGTTGTCAAAGATAACCAGGTTTTCAGCAGATTTTCTAATAACTAACAGAGCTATGATAGAAAATAGGACACTCTATTAACTACATTATGTTCTTGTTTGTTTTCATGCTCAAGATACAACAGCTACGGAATCAATATACTACGGTGAGTCATCTTTTCCTATCTTTTGGACACAGAAATAAGAATAACACTGGCTATTCCAAGCAGTAAAGTATTGCATATGTTTCCATATTGAATTTCCATATTAATTTCATCTGTTTCCCCTTTTGGCTACTGCCTACATTCAAGATACAGGTAGGAATGAAATCACACAAACTCACTCAAAGGTTCTTCTTTCACATGCAGTTTCTTCTTCTTCTTTTCCTTTACATTCACTCACTGTCTGTTTCTCTTTGAGCAGACGACCCACCTGTTGGACCACCTGAGGATCGAGTTGCTGTAAGTGAGAACTTTCTGATTATTTTTGTAGATGGGCATGAAAAAGTGTATTAATTTGGTGTATTTGTTACAGTTGACAAAAGCATCTTGAAGCCTGAATTTTATCTACGTTTTTGTCCATTTTTATAAATAACTGGATGTCATACAGTGTCAGTAACCATGTAAGCAAGTCTATGAAATGGGCCCCCTGTTGTTTGATATTTAGTACTACACTTTACCACGGTGTCATAAAGGGCCCATATCCTTTTTTTTTGCTTTTTATTTTTTCCACTTGCAGTCCACTTATCACACATGCCAACTCGTCACCTTCTTATAAAATTAGCTCTTTTGAATGATAAACATTTCAGTCACGTTAACTGTGTAGATCTGTTGAGTTTATGTTTTTTTTGTGTGTGTAGGTGTTTCTGCCGATGAATCTATCCTCATTCCCAAACACAGCGAAGAAAAACCTTATTATTCATTATTGGGTCATTATTCTGCCAACACAGATTTAGTATTTAATTTTTATGGGTTATAGTACAATCTACAGTCTACAATCACATCAGAAATAGCAATCATCGGGGTCCAAGCACCATATGCAATTTTGAAGGCAGTAGAACACAAATTATGGGCAAAGTGGCCACTATTTTTAATAGATGTGGGGTCTCAAAAGGAGATGTCTGCCAGACTTCATACACATTGACCCTCTGACCTTGGTTTTTTAACAAAATAAGTGAAGATGCCTAGAAAACAGTATTGTTTTTCAGACATGATTTGTATTTGCATAGTTGTTGAGATCAATGAATGATATAATTCCACAATAATTACCCATGTATTCTATTCTCAGAATTTCCCCAAATGCCCCAGAATTTTCATATTAAAATCAATAAAATGTTCTCTTAGGAACAGTGTCACTGGACCACCCTACAGGGGATTGCTTTGTAAACCTTTTTCATCAATCATGAGTTGTCTGTGTGGATTTATGTGTCGAAAACAGTCATCATTCATTTCTACATGACATTTTACATCCTTGAAAATTAAACAAACTGTGTTTGTTACTGTGCTGTTAACACTGATATGTATGTAAACGACCTATTTGATTTGCTGCTCTGCATTGTCCCTCATATAAAAAGCAGTCTGGGTGGAATCAGGCCTTGTAACTTCAGCGTAAATGGGCAGGGCTAAACTGCTGTGGGCTGAATAGATGGTTATGCAAATGTTTTTTTTTTTTGTGATATCACAAAACAGTTGGTTCCAAACAGGCTGGTTTTGCAGCTTTGTTTCTGTATATGGACTGGAGAATCATTTATACATTTTCGAACTTTAACGGTGTCCATATACTACAACAAACTTTTTATTTTAAAAGGAAGTGAGGAAAATGTCTTTGAAAATTGATATGGGCCCTTTGACAGATAGAGCTCATTAGGCCTATATTCTTGATAGCTGTCAGTGTATCTGTGTGTGAGTGTGGGAATACTGTGTAAACACTCTTTTTTCCTGTCTGTAGGTGTACGTGGTCGTGGGAATCGCCGCCGTCACATTCGCCGGCTTTGTGCTGATGCTGGTCGTCCTGAAGTTTGGCCGCAACTCAAAGTTCGGAATTAAAGGTAAGCACCTCTCAGCCGGGCTCTTCTCTCTGCCAGACCCTTGTTAAGAGCCCCGGCTCTGCAGGGAGACATTGTGGAGGAAGCTGGAAGAGGGTAATGAAAGCCTCAGTAAACCTTCAATAGGGGGGGAATGCAAAGGGAGGCTGTTTCTCGTCTTGTTCTCTGTGCTTCACTAATCGCTTAACACTCAACCATTCTTCTTTAACCAGCCTGTCTCTGAAAGCTTTGTGTCTGGATTTAAACCTTCTACTTGTTTCCTAGCTGTGTCCTTTTACTGATCTAATATTAATAAATAATTAAAGGAATATTTGATTAAAAATCTACACAATTTTCCACTTACACCTAATGTAGCCAAGATATGTTTGGTGTCTGAAGTTTGCTTCTTTAATTTTGTACTGGAGTTACAAGGCTAATGTAGCTAACAAGTAATGGACGGTTACTCCACTGATTAGCATCCAACAGCCTGCTTAAACAATCACAAACCATGTCAAGTTGTCTCAAATAAACTTACTGACCAAGTATGGACAAAAGTTCAGATATCAAAATGGCTGCTGCTACTGTTTTAGCTTACAGTTTATCTGTTACAACCAGTTTAGCCTGTTTAGCTGAATTGCTAAGGAATGTTTCAGTGAAACGCAGCACTATCTTGTACTGTCTGAGGTTCACTTTGTTGTTGAGGGCATAGACAAATATGGAGAAACATGAAAGGAACGATGGGTTTCTGGGGTTAGCCTAGCATGGTCACCAGCCCACTATTATTGTAGTAACAACTCAACACTTAAATCATTTATTAGCTACCTTAGTTTTGTCATAACCTTAATACCAGTAATAAGGGCAAATAGCACAATGCACAAATACTAGCAGATTAGCTTGTTTAGCTGAATCGCTGAACAAGGGATGTTTCAGTGACATTCAGTCGGCCCTGTTTTGAGGTCCAGTTTTTTGTTGAGGGCATAGACAAATATGGAGGAATATGGAAGGAATGATGGGTTTCTGGGGTTAGCTTTTAGCCTAACATGGACACCAGCCCACTATTATTTATTTTATAGTAACAACTCAACACTTCAGTCATTTCAGTCCTTAGTTACATTAGTTTTATCTTAACCTTCATACCAGTAAAAAGGGCACATAGTACAATGCACACATATTAGCACTAACATTAGCTCGTTTAGCTGAATGGCTGAATAAAGGATGTTTCTGTGATGTTCAGTCTTGAGGTCCAGTTTGTGGTAGAGGGAGCAGACAAATATGGAGAAATATGGAAGGAATAGTGTGTTTCTGGGTTAGCTTCTAGCCTAGTATGGACACCAGCCCACTATTATTTATATCATGGTAACAACCTAATGCTTCGATCATTTGTTATCTACAACAAATCATAAGCTTTATACTAGTAATAAGGCCAAATAGCACAATGCACAAATATTAGCACTAAGATTAGCTCATTTAGCTGAATGGCTGAAAAAGGGATGTTTCAGTGATGTTCAGTCAGCACTGTAATATTATTTTTTTAAAATTTTTACCCGATTTTCTCCCCAATTTAGTCGTCTCCAATTCCACCCGCTAGTTAGGACTCCCCCAATCACATACGATACTATCAACGCTAGGAGGGTGAAGGCTAACACAGGCTTCCTCCAAGACCGCCGCTCACGCAACGTCATTGGACAGCCGAACGCGCTCGGAGGAAAGCGCCAAACACCAGATCTGTTATGTCAGCTAAGAGACGCCTGCTCTGACTAGCATCGCGCTGAGTGAGTGATGGGGGGAGAAGGGCAAGGATCCCACCCACCCAGAGAGAGCAAGGCCAGTTGTGCTCTCTCGGACTCCCGGCTGCTGATGGCTGTAGCGTCACCGGGGATGGAACTCGCGATCTCCTGATGATAGGGCCAACGCTTAGACGGTTGCGCCACTCGGGAGCCCTCAGTCAGCACTGTTTTGAGGTCCAGTTTGTTGTAGAGACAGTGGACAAATATGGAGAGATGTGGAAGGAATAATGGGTTTTGGGGGTTAGCTTGGACACCAGCCCACTATTATTTATATTATAGTAACTCAACTTTTTGAGGCAAGTATGATGATTTAGCCATGCAGTTTACACATTGCTAATTGGAAGGTGTAAGCTTTAGTTACTTGCTAGCCACATTAGCCTCATAGTTCCAGTCCAAAAATAAAGAAGCAAACTTTGGATACCAAACATGTATTGGCTGATTGATTACATTTGAAGAGAAAAATGATGTAAATTCTCATCTCCTTTAATATGAAACTAGACCTTTAACATTAGAGGATGTTTCAGGTAGTTACTAAGATGCTAATGCTGCACTGCTGCTTTCTGTCAGACTGTAGCTGTAGCTGGTTCTCAGCAAGTTGGGATGATCTTGGAGTGGTTAATGGTAAGACGGTTGGGAGAATCGGTCGTGATCTTAAGAGTTTTGTTTTTGACACAAAATAGCCCAGTGATGCGAGGTTGGAGGGGATCTGGAAATCCATTCTGCGTACGTGTGGGGGTGTGTTTGTTTAACTGGAAGTGCTGGGGGGTAGTTTACGAATGCGTGTGTGTGATTGTTTCTTGTGGTTTTTCTGCAAGGAAGTGCCGGGTTAGATGTCCTGAGGGGCTCATTTTCACACTGTGGTCTGGTTTACTCTCTGTGTGTATGGAAGCCCAATCCTGCCAGGTAAAAGAGAAAAAATCTAAAATCTCTGCTTCTGGCAGCAGTTTGCCAAAATATTGGCTTAATATCTCAAAATAATGACTTATTTTCTCAAAATAATAATAATAATAATAACAATAATAAGAGATTTTGAGATGCTATGTTGAAATAATGAGTTGTACAATTTCAAGAAAGTAATTCTTTTGGAATAATAAGTCATTTTTATAAGGTTATTTTGACATAGTAAGTCAATATTTTGAGAAAATGAGTTGTAATTTCGAGTTAATATTTTGATACGGCTTCCAGAAACAGAAATTATAAAGGAAAATATGTTCCAAAAAGGATGAAATGCATGTGCTGGTGAATATAAATGTTTGCTTGAGGCTTGTTCTTATTATTTCTTTGCGCTTTAACTTAGTTTCTACATGCTGACCTTGCTGTGACTCGAAGACACACACATACATACACACACTGCGGAGAGAAGCTGGCTCTTCGGGCAGAAGAGTGGAAATGAGGGAAATGTAGGGGTGAAACTGTAGCTCTGGAGTTCATGAAGTGTGGGTGTCTGCAGCTCTGAGAGAGAGAGAGAGAGAGAGAGACATTCATAGTCAGCAACCTTGTGCTTATCAATGATTCAGAGACAGGTATCAGTTTTCTCTGTTTTTTTTTGTCTAAAAATCAATGGAGCTTGTCAAGGTCAGAAGTATTCTTCTTCCACTGGCTCAGCAATAAGGCCAGTGCACTAAAACCACTTCCTCTTCTCTTCCTCGTCTCTTCCTCTTCTTTTCCTCTCTCCTCCAGCTCCACTTGTCAGAAATGTATTATATATCAGAACAATTTCGCAATCAAATTTGCACAGGTTCCCCTCTTGTATATAATCAGCCAGCCAAGACGTAACATCAGGATCGACACAGCTTTAAATAACGAGCCTTTTGTTAAAGAGCAACCTTCAGTCTTCAGGACAGAACTGAAACACTGTACCCAGTGAATTCAGTGCCTAAAATAAAGGAGCCAAACAACTTTAAATGGCTGGTTAGTCTATAGATTGTAGGGACACTTGCTAGCTAGTGTAATAGCTAATCCATCTGAAGTTTTAGTAAGTTGAGTGCACTTTTGAGTCGAGCTGCAAGTCAGGTCAGCATGCAACGCGAGTCCCCATCTCTGGTTGTGTAATTTCAAATAGACTTCCTTGGTTTCTGGCACTGTATCAGCTATCAAGTTGGAGAAAAGCACATAGCCTAACTACACACTGTGGAGAAGAATTTGTGCCAAATTAAAAAGCAGTCACTACAGTGGAAAAACATGAAATGCAATACACACATCATTACCATAGTGACACGCTGAATATGTGCCAGAATGAAAATTATAAAACAGATAGTTCCAGTCCTGAAATCTGATTGGCTGAGCTGCGTTCAAAGCCGTGGTAAAGGCACATCTATAAACCGCCGCACAACAACCAAATTGTGTATCACTACACCACAGCATGAAAATCCCTTGTGCTGTTAATGGAATGATCTTTACTCTCATGCTGCTTGCATGGACCACAGAGTATATTAATGAAGTAAGAACTCATTTTTTTGTTTAAACTGAGGGGCTGGCAACTTATGTTGTTAACTAGAACTAGGCTGGTCAGCTAGCTAACAGGCTAAAAGATAGCCAACAGCCTAAACAACTCCTTTTTCAATATCACAGGCTTGAATTAAAGTACTTACGGTAGTATAAAAGACTATAAAATGTCATTTGAATGGATCACAAATGTTCATGTTTCATTTAGAAGTAGCATCATACTCAGGCTGAATCCCAAACAGCTCCGTATTCCCTAAATAGTGTGCTAGCTATGAAAGTTCAGAAATCCTAGTTTCTGTAGCCATATAGTGCAACCTTTATTGAGTGTGATTGTGGCTGAGTCCCAAATGACTATTTCTTGGCTATATTCTGCACCACTGAGGTGCAGGATCCAGTATTTAAATTCCTATGCAGTGCATTATGTAGGCAGCAGGGAGCCATTTGAGATTCAGCTCCAGCACGACACGAGGGGCACCGCTGGATTGGTGCTAAATAAGACTAGTGGTGGTAATTTGGTGACCAAAAAGTACTTGTAAAGAGAAAGTTTTTGCATTAAACAGTGCTGTGTTATCATATGTTCATTGTTATATAACAAAAAGTTAAAAAATGGGGCTCCCAAGTGGCGCAACCGTCTAAGCATTGGCCTTATCATCAGGAGATCGCGAGTTCATTCCCGGTGATGCTACAGCCATCCGTAGCCTGGAGTCCAAGAGAGCACAATTGAGAGAGCCCCCCTCTTCTCCCCCCATCACTCACTCAGTGCGATACTAGTCAGCGCAGGCGTCTCTTAGC